GTAGACATTTGAATTGAGCGCATCAACAGCAGTGTACCATGACGGATGCAGTCCACCGATAGCCCAGGAATTCGTACACGGTGCAGGAACTTGTATACATATGCAAACACGCGCTGCAGCTTTCCAAATGTGTTAACATATTTGCATTGCTGTGCAATGTCTTCGCACAGTGTGGTGCTTACAAACACTTTAGAGCGCTGCTCAGGAAGCGACGAGACGGAATTGCAAGACTCTGGCCAAGAAGATTTATCTTTCGTCAGAAATGCGGGACCATGTAGCCACAAGTTGGACTGGACTAATTCGCTGGGCAAAGCTCCACGTGAAAGTATGTCCGCAGGATTTAAATCGGTTGGAATATATCGCCATTCCATGCCAGAGGTCAACTCTTGAATAGTTGCGATGCGATTGGAAACGAAAATTTGAAACCTGGATGGCTCGCTGCGAATCCAAGATAGCGCTACTGCAGAATCAGACCAACAATAAAACTTGCAGTCGAATAACTCCATACGAGATATTTCGTTTATGAGTTGTGCCAGCAAAACGGCTCCGCACAACTCTAGTCGGGGCACGGTCAACGATTTGAGCGGCGCCACACGAGATCTGGAACACAGCAGCTCCGCACGAGATTGGCCTTGCGTGGTCGAAATGATGTACACGCAAGCTCCATAGGCATCTATGCTGGCATCACTAAAACCATGCACTTCAATGGAAACACCAACAGAAAGTGCAAGCCTTGGAAATTTCAGCTGCTTTGTGCGCTCAAAATCTGCAATAAGATTATGCCAAGATGTTGTCAATGATGCTGAAAGGCTTTCATCCCAATCAAGCCTTTCTCTCCAAAGCGCCTGCAGGAATATCTTAGCCTTTGCGATTACTGGTCCAATAAGGCCAAGCGGATCATAAAATCTGGCAATAGTTGACAAAACAGTGCGCTTGCAAATTCGACCAGATGTCAATGCTGGCAGAAACGTGAAAATGAATAAATCCGTCGCAGGATCCCACGACAGTCCTAGAGTTTTTGTTATGTCGCTGCCATCATCAAACTTAACTAGAGTTTCTTTGTCTTCTTCCGGAACTTGTTTGAGCACATCAGGATTGCTGGAGCACCACTTCCTTAGCTTGAAATTAGCCTTGGCAAGTAGCCCTGTGGTTTGTCTCATAATTTCTATGACTTCGTTTGTAGAAGCACCACCAGTGATTAAATCATCAACATAAAAATCGCGGCGCAAGATATCGGAGCCAATAGGAAATAGCTCATGCTCATCTTCAGCCAGCTGATGCATAGTGCGAACGGAGAGAAACGAGGCAGGCTTTGTACCGTAAGTGACGGTATCAAGACGGAAAACTTGAATAGGCTTTTGAGGCGAGTCACGCCATAGAATGCATTGAAAATAGCTATCCGGATTTGATACTCGCACGCAGCGGTACATCTTGCAGATGTCTCCTGTTAAAGCGATAGGAAACGTGCGAAATCGAAGAAGCGTGTTTGCGAGCTTTGACTGAATGGAAGGACCAGCCATTAGGATGTCATTTAAAGAATGACCAGAGGATGTGGATGCGGAACCGTCAAACACGACTCTCAACTTTGTCGTTGTGCTGTCCTCCTTCAGAACGCAATGGTGCGGCAGGAAATACTTGCACAAATTTAGCGAAACTGGCGATACAAGCGACATATGACCCAACTCTAAATACTCCTTAATGAATGCAGAGTACTGTGCTTTGAGAAGTGGATTGCGTTCTAACTTTCGCTCCAAGTTTATGAACCGACGATAGGCTTGCGTATAGGAATCGCCAAGCAGATCTGTGCTGAGCTTTACAGGCAATCGGACGGAATACTCGCCAGTACGCAGGCGCCTGTAATTAGCCTTGAAATGCTCCTCGCAGTCGAACTCTTCTTTGGTGAGTTTTACAGCCGGATCGACACCACTTTCGAGTTCCCAAAAAGAGCGAACCATCTGCTCGATTCGTGTATTGCAATCCTGTGTAGACGGAGACTTGGATGCAACCAAAGCAGATTTCTGACGCTGCGAGCCACCTCCAGTAACTATCCAGCCCAAACGAGTCTTTTGCAGAAGTGGCAGGCCATCAGCCAGTTTAATCTGACCTACGCACAACAACTCGTAGAATACATTGGCACCGATAAGCATATCAATTTGCTGTGGCTTGAAGAACGCCGGATCAGCTAAGCGGACATTGCTTGGTATATCCCAATGAGATATGTCAACCGTGAAATTTGGTTGGTTCTCAGTAATGGAAGGAGCGACCAAAGCAGTAATATTTGCGGAATAGTCAGTGACCAATGATTGCAAGCATAAGTGCACAGTGCAACCATCAGACTTGAAACTGACGTCACCAAGACCAGACACAGAGGCCGACGACTTGGTCTTTCGAAGTTGGAGCCGGTGAGCGAATCGCGAAGTTATTATGTGCAACTGTGATCCGGAATCGAGCAGTGCACGGCAGGGTACCCAAGTCCCGGCGCGATTTTGAATGCTGATGACAGCGGTGGCCAAGAGCACAACATCTGAGCCGAGATTTTGGGCAGGCAATGAAGCAAGCGATGATGGCGAAACAGCTGCGAGAGCGCTACGTGGCAGTAACAATGAAGACGGCCGCGAGTGTAAGTCAGAAGCGGACGATTGCTCAGGCATCAAATTTACGGCAGCTGAATTATTAAAATGCAATAAACTGTGATGTTTGGCACCACAGGTTCTGCACGATCCAGAATTGCAAGTTCTCATTCTGTGTCCCTTTCTAAGACAATTTATACACAGAGAGAGGCGTTTCGCTTCCTTTAAACGAAGTACAGGCGACAAATTACCAAAAAGTGGGCAACTGTATATTTCGTGTGCATTTATGTCACAAAACAGACAACCATTTGCGGATGGGTTAGTGGCGACAAACGAGCGTTTGGTGTTAGTGTTTTTGTTCTTTCCCACCTGATAATTCGACGAATATGATGCCATTGCATGCTCGATGTTTTCCAATTTTTGGCACCTGCTATCCAAGAACGTCGCAAATTGCTCCCACGACGGTATAACGTTTAATGGGGCGGCTTCCTCCCACTTTGCCTGCGTCGCAGCATCCACCTTGCCCAAAATTGTCTGAACGACGATGCTGCCAGCTACATCTTGCATATTGCCCAAACTCAACAGTGCACGCATATTTGCGTTGACTTTGTCGGACAACTCTCGCAGCTTGCTTGTAGTTTCAGCCTTTTTAATGCCCAAAATCTCGGAGATGTGTGCCTGGAAAATAAGACGCTTATTGTTAAACCGCTTGTCGAGTAGGTCTAACGCCACTGAATAATTTGCACCACTTATCTCAAGCGCACGAATCGTGCCCAACGCAGATCCTCTTAAGCTTGACCTCAAATGCTGCAACTTTTCCACATCGGAGAGATCTGGATCCTTGGCGATCACTGATGTGAACATCGAAGCGAAATCTGCATATTCAGTATATCCACCACTGAATGTAGGCAACTTAAGCTCAGGCAAACGAGACCGAGTTATCACAATGGTAGACTGATCATCTTGCCGAAGCGTCGAACACGGCGGCGCGCCAGATTGCATCCTTTGTATTGCATTTAGCAGGCGGCCCTCCAAGCAGACCACCAGCTCAGCAAAGTTGCAGCGCAAACTGCTGCCAATCTCGTCAAAGTCCAGCTCCTCTAATTTGTCATGCACCAAATTAAAAGAGGCCTGAATACTTTGCAGCATTTCCACACGTTTTCGCAGCTCACTTTCTGAAATATTGTCAATTTCACAATCATTTATTTTATTTTGAATAGAAAGCGCCCACGCATATAATGATTGCGCCTTGCGCTTATAAAACTCAACACTATTGCTCGTAGCTTGCACTGCATTGCCCACAGCTGTTGACGTCGAAGCTGTTGGCGCAAGCGTCGCTGCATCAGCTACGTCAGCAGCAGCTGATGCGACAGCTTGGAAGGCGCGCATTTGACCGTCGCTCTCAGACATTGTGAACGCGAGAGAGAACCGAAAACCGAAAATAGCAGAGATAAATGACGCGCGCGAATAACTGTTTTATCTGCTGATGTTCGTTGCCCTCAAAAACGTCGCTTCACACGGCTGCTTATTGGCGGTACAGTAGGCACTATGAACTTATATTTTTGCACTTATGTACTTGAATATTTTTTGTGTACAATGAGCTCAATTATGTACGCTTTTGTTTTTTAACGCGATTAAGCAAGGTTTTGTGGAATTATTAATCACGTCGGGGTCACCAAAATGTATAATCATAAGCTTTTTTATGATTCCAAATATGCGAAATTATGTTGGCGAAATAATTGCAAAATAAGCGAAACGAAATTGTTCAATTTAAAAGATGTGCACAAATGTTTATTTTGCATAGGTAGCGATCGCCGAGATTTACAAAGTTTATGCTGGTAGACGGAAAGCTAAGCTTCTCCGTACCAGATGCGATAACGAAAAACGAACTTGACTTGCAGAGTTAGCGACAATAACTAGTACATATGTGGCGGCTGCGCAGCAGCCTATGCAAATTTATGGCAACAAAAGGAAACGTTAAGTGCTCGGCTTGCTATGCAAAGCAAGCGACAAGAAAACGAGCACTTTGCATTGAGTTATTTACGTTACTTATTAACTATGATGTGCTGCTGGTTTTGGCTGTTTTTGGCCGGATGACCAAACAATCAATTTTATTGTTTATTACAAAAAAGAAACGAAATTTAATCATAATTCTTAGCATTATATGTGCTTTCAAAAAAGAAACGAAATTTAATCAAAATTCTTAGCAATACATGTGCTTTCTCGCCTCAGCTTTCCTCAGCTGCGCCGTAAATAATAGTTTCAACGCTTTTTTACATATGCCAATATTTTATATTTCTAAAAGAATACTTGTATCTAGTCTTACTTGTACTTAATACTTGGATAATATAGATTTCGTACATATGTGTGGTATATAAATTTTATTGTTTATTACAAAAAAGAAACGAGATTTAATCAAAATTCTTAGCATTACATGTGCTTTCTCGCCTCAGCTTTCCGCTGGTTATCTAACCATGTCTTCAGCTGCGCCGCAGAACGATTTTTCAAATATGTCGAGTTTTTAATTACGTTGTTGCACTGTTTGAGGGACGGCAGATCCTTCATGGTTTTTGCATTACCGAACGCTTTCATCATTTCAAAACGCTCCTCTCTCGTCCAACGTACCCGTTTTATAAAACCAGTGGGCGACCCTGCAAAAGATCAAAAATTAAAATTGAATGTGTAATAATAATAAATAATAAAGGTGACCGGACCTACAAAATTTTTACTTAAGTATATTCAATACTTATAAAATAACTGTGCTCAATAAATTAGAAAATATACAACCAACAGTTGTAGGATTGAATATTACAAATTCGTTGCTTTGTAAGCGTGGTACAAATTGTCAGTTAGAAAACTGAAATGATTTTAGGCAATTCTGTTCTCAAAATCCAAAAATATTGTCAACATTTTGAAGGCTTGTACTGGACAGATCTAGAAAACTGCTGTATGATGCTATTAGGCAAGATTATATTGGATAGCTCAGAAAAGACCCAAGATATTTTCTGCCTAAAAAAAGATGAATGTATTATGAGTTATTGGATAGATCTCTTCTGGATTTAATACAAAACAAACTGCATATAGCAAGGAAAAAATTGTTTTCAATAAGCCTTGCCTGCATAGTCGTCATGACTTCGAATGAATTTTACATCTTTTTCATTCTGCCCTGTGGGTACTATATTATGGGAGTGGGGGTGCATCAGAAAAAATGAACAAAATGGATCTGTCTGGGTTAAGACAGGGTTTAAAAAAATACTAATAGAAACTTACCGAGAGGTTTTTGCGGGCAATACTCCTCATCATTTATGTCATTTATGTCATTATTTGCGGGCTGGAAGTTTTCGTCATCAGAAAGCGCTACATTTACGTAAAAAATTTTTAGTTTATACTTATTATTTTATGAATCGGTTATTTGTAACTTTCTGTACATTAATAGCAGTCGAGATCTTCGTATAAAATAACACAAGGACAATTAATTTAAAAACATTTTGTTAATAACAATATTATTACCAATAAAACAGCCTTAGCCAATTTAATATAAAACAAAAGAGAACGCTACAGTCGAGCACAGACAGTGTAATACCCTGTACCCAGGCAAATTTCCGATATGGAGCTATATGCGCCCCCTAGCTGCAGCAAAAAGAAGAAGAGCGTACCTGATGCTGCAGCTTGGAGGCGAAGTACTGGAGCGACACTGTTTCGCTAATAACTTTTCTTAGAATTGGCCGAATGGGATGAAATTTGAAACAAAAGTAGTTAATTATATTGCGTGTGCAAAATTTGGTTTATGCAGTTTTTGAAATGTAGACAGTATTGACGAAATTCTGTAGCGAAGGAAGGGGAGGGAATTTCAAAAAAATAAAATAAACTCGTCCTTTCTCGGACATAGGAGAATCTGGATACCAACTTTGGTTATTCCAGCTTTTATAGTTTCTATTCATTCATCGAGACAGACGGACAGACAGACGGACGGACATGTCTAGATCGATTTCTCTCCTCATGCTGATCAAGAATATATATACTTTATGTGGTCGGAAATGCTTCCTTCTGCCTGTTACATACTTTGCACAAACCTAATATATCCTTTTTACCCTACGGGTACGGGGTATAAAAAAGATTTTCGGAATTTAATTTGAAGCTTATGCCTAGGGTCGTTCTAGAATAGCTTTTAGAGGGTAAGTATATTATTACTAAAGCTAAGTAAACTACAAAATAACAAACTCAAACAAGGACGACACTGTCCGACCACAATTAAGGTCAGCACATTAATACACACATTAGTACACATATTAGGTCAACATAAGTTGTTTCTGGTGTTAAAATAATAGTGTTCAAAGATGATGAGTTGACAGCTTAGTTTTATTAAATGGCAATTACGAGTTAATAGTGATTAGGGCTTGATGTGGAATAAAATTATTTATAAATAATTCTAATAAGAAGGTAATACATACTATTAGGGTCATTTTCATCATTATCAGCATTATCACTATTAAGTGCAGCCATTAATAATTGTGAGACTTGTGTTATTTCATCATAAGTTGCATTGACTCTATAAATATTTTTATGAATATCTTTGTTGTGACCCATAAACCCTGCTAGGCGATCAATTTGAGAATCTGCGACATTTAACAATGAAGTATATGTTGCTAAATGTTTACGCAACATAGTGCCTCTTAAAGCTTGTGGGTTAGAAGCACCGCATTCTTCAGCAAATTTTTTTAATATGGGACATGCTCTTATGTATTCCTTTGCGGAATCTGCAGACCAGAACACATATATTTTATTTTTTATTCCAGCTTTTTTGCCATTGTCCAGTATGGTATCAATGCAAACATGGTCGAATGGCGTTAAAAGAACTGATACAGTTCTGCCAAGTTTACCTCGAATTGTTACCCTTGTGTACTGCTTTGCAAATTCTTGTGTTTTTTTTGTTAGTTTATTGAAATTATCTTTATCCACCTTTTCATTTATGGCTTGCGCACTTTTATAATTTTCCACAGTTAATCTCTCTAATTCACCAACCCGTCGACGGTTGAAAATGAGCAAGTTTACTAAAGTGCTTTGTACCAGCACAGACCAAGTTTCAACATCGAAGGTATTTTGTAAGATCTTAACAGCTTCTGTAGCTTTTTCTTTGACATATTCGAACAGTATTTTAATGTCTTCTTTAGTAGGAAGTGTTGAAAAAATGTATATCGATGTATGTACTTATATCAATGCACGCATGTACGATCACACAACATATGTTTTTCTCTATGCAGCGTTTGTCACACGAAGAAGATGGCAAACGCATAATGTAAAACTAACCACGCATAGTTAGTCTTCAATAAACTTCTCAATGATACACACGTATTGCGTTCATTATTATTTGGCCGGGTTTCCGTGACGAACCCCTCCCTCATTTCAATAGGTTATGGGCCCAGGCAATGGCCTGTTAGTGAACGCGTCGACAAATGTTTGAGTTACGAACTCTGAGACATTAATAATAAAGTGTTTGTGAAGATTTTGTGTTTGCAACGTGCAAAAGAAACAATACAAAATGAGTGCATTATACCAGATCGAGAAACTGGAAGAAAAGAACTATGAGTCATGGAAAATACAAATGCGCAGTGTATTGATCCATGCGGAGCTATGGGGCGTGGCCTCTGGTGAAGTGGTTGCGGAAAGTGCTGAGGATGCCAAGTGGAGAGCCTTGGATCAAAAGGCCCTTGCAACTATCACATTGAGTGTAAAACCATCGCAATTGGGTTATATAAAAAATAGCCAGACAGCAAGTGAAGCTTGGATAAAATTGCAAGAAGTTCACCAGCCCAGTGGACCTGTGCGCAAAGTATCACTTTATAAAAAGTTACTAAGCTTGCGGATGGCACAAGGACAGAGCATTTCCAATTATTTAAATACGTTTAATGAAGTATTGGACCAGCTAGTTTCTGTGGGAATTGAGATAAATGATGAGCTACGTGCTATTATTCTGCTTTCCAGCCTTCCATCAGAATACGAAAATTTCGTTGTTGCTATCGAGACGCGCGATGATTTACCGCAATTCGACACTCTAAGTATAAAGCTCAAAGAAGAGGGTGAACGAAGGTCAATAGAAACAGACAAGGAATACGAAAATGCAACGGCATTCACAATTGTTCAAAAATCGCACACTTATGCGAAAGGCGCCTCAAAGAAGAAACAATCAAACGGTGTTTGCTTCAAATGCGGCGAAAGGGGACATTTCAAGGCGAATTGCCGCAGTGCAAGCGTGCACAAAGAGAGCAGAAATATAAAAGAAAGAGATCAGAAACACTTCAGCTTACTAAATGCGTTGGACGCAGGTAGTTTTCATCGAACGAAATGGTGTTTGGACAGCGGCGCAACGAGTCATATGTGTTGTCAGAGAGAAATGTTTACAAGTTTTGAGAAACATTCAGAAATGATAGGTTTGGCAAATGGCGGTTTTTTGCAAGCAGAAGGAAAAGGAGAAGTGGCATTAAACGGTGGTTTATATGCACTTAAGCTGATCGACGTTCTGTATGTACCGCAGCTGACGGGCAATTTCGTTTCTGTAAATCGAGCTGTTGAAAACAAATGTTTGGTTAATTTTGGCCCGGCAAAAGCCAAAATAATTCAAAATGGTGACTGCATACTGGAAGTAAGCAAAGTTGGCAATTTGTACATGTTTGAAGACAAATTAAACCAATGTTATGCTGCCGTGCAAGCCGATGGAGTTTTGTGGCATAGAAGATACGGCCATTTAAGTTACGCAAGTTTGTCGGAAATGACAAAGAAAGGCATGGTACGAGGTGTGGAAGCGGCTGAATTTTCGTCGGAGAAACAATGCAAAACGTGCATGGTGAGCAAGATTCACGTTCATCCCTTCCCAAAAGCTGCCGAAAGTCGGACAAATGAAATACTGGAGCTGGTTCATACGGACGTATGTGGGCCATTTGAAACATGTTCATTTGGCGGATCCAGATATTTCTTGACTTTCATTGATGACTTCTCTAGGCGTATATTCGTGTACTTTTTAAAATCCAAGGATGAAGCATTTGAAAAGTTCGTTGAGTACAAGAATCTTGTGGAGCGTCAAACCGGCAAGAAGCTTAAATGTATTCGTAGCGACAATGGGCGCGAATATGTAAACAAAAGGTTTGATGCATTCCTTACACAACATGGTATTGCACGTCAGCTGACCGTTGCATACACACCGCAACAGAACGGAGTTGCAGAGCGAGCTAACCGTACCCTAGTGGAAATGGCGAGGTGTTTGTTGGTGGAGTCCAAACTTTGCAAGGCGCTGTGGGCTGAGGCTATAAACACTGCAGCGTATTTGCGAAATCGGTCGCATACAAGGGCGCTGACAGATATGACACCGATGGAAGCGTGGACTGGTAAGAAACCATCAATAAGCCACTTAAAAGTTTTTGGTTCCGTTGCAGTAGCACTCGACAAAGGTCATGCGAAGGGCAAGTTTCAACCAAAAGGCAAAGAGTACCGTATGGTCGGGTACTCGAGGCAAGCAAAAGGATATCGTTTATATGATCCAGAATCGAAGCAAATAGTCGAAAAACGGGACGTTCTGTTCGATGAACTTGGCGAAGAGGCACAAACTAGAAGTGAACCAGCAACGTTTGATGTGCTGATTCAAGAAAATTTTGGTACCAAAGACTCCGTGGCACCGGAGATTAATTTGAATGACATCAACGACGATGGCTCTGATAACAACAAAGACGACAACAGCGATGCAGAAAGTTCCAGTACAGATGTCGACAGCGGCGATGCATTCGAAAGTGCTGAAGATGCACCTGCTCAAGAGGATCGTGGTGTGCGGGTTGGACCCGGCAGACCAAGATTGCTAAGGACGGGTAGACCTGGTCGCCCGAAAAAGCAGTTCAACGTACTTAGCGCTATGGTCACAAGCGATGTCGTTGTGCCATTATCCTATGAGGAGGCAATGGAGAGTACACATGCATCTTACTGGCGCGAGGCAATGAAGAAAGAATACGATTCTTTGAGGGCGAATGAAACCTGGGCGCTTGCAGATTTACCAAGAAATCAGCGAGCAATTGGCTGCAAATGGGTTTTCAATTTGAAGCGAGATGCATGCGGTGGCATAGAACGTTTTAAGGCACGTTTAGTTGCCAAAGGATGCTCGCAGCAGTATGGTATTAACTACCTGGAAACATTCTCACCTGTATGCCGAATGGAGAGTTTCCGGTTCATTCTGGCATTGGCGGCTGAGCTAAACCTATATTTGCACCAAATGGACGTATGCACGGCATATCTGAACAGCGACTTGAAAGACACCATATATATGAAGCAACCACAAGGGTACATAGATGGAAGTCATCCAAGTCAAGTCCTGCTGTTGAAGAAAGCGATCTATGGACTGAAGCAGTCAGGAAGGGAATGGAATTCCAAGCTTGACCATGTCCTGCAAGATATGGGCTTTATTCCATGCGACAATGAGCCTTGTTTATATAAACAGCGCGAAGAAGGTAATCTGTCTCTAATTCTGGTATATGTTGACGATCTTCTTGTAGCATGTCAGTCAAAATCGGATTTAATCAACATTAAAGCTGCTATATCTAGAGCTTTTGAATGTGTCGACAAGGGTCCTATACAGCTGTTTCTCGGCATGGAGATTCAGCGGGATGGTGAAGTTGGTGGCATTACCTTAAGCCATTCGCAATATATCAAGGAAATATTGCATCGACACAACATCGAAAATTGCAGACCGGCAGCGACACCTTTGGAGGCAGGCCATCAGGTGGCGTGCGAGAGTACGGACTGTCAAAAGGTGGAACCGGCACTGTATCAATCGATAGTGGGCGAGCTGATGTGGCTGGCCCTAACAACTAGACCAGATATTTTACACTCGGTAGCGAAGCTGGCACAGAGGAACAAGGATCCTCATTCTGAGCATCTTGCAGCTGTTAAACATATTCTACGTTATCTGGTGTCTACAATTGAGATGAAGCTCTACTACAGCAAGTGCGGCCAACCTTTCTCTGGTTACGTAGATGCAGATTGGGGCGGTGATAAAACTGACCGCAAGTCGTATACGGGCTACGTATATTTCCTATCTGGAGGACCGATTTCTTGGAAATCGGAGAAGCAACGCAGTGTGGCACTCAGCAGTACAGAGGCTGAGTATATGGCACTGTCTACTGCATGCAAGGAGGCGATAGCCATGAGACGGCTCATCATCGAAATTGGCTGCGGCACGGCAGACACACCGACTGTGGTGTACGGCGACAATCTGAGCGCTCAGCAGTTGGCGAAAAATCCTGTGCATCATTCACGAACCAAGCACGTGGATATCAGATACCATTTTATACGTCAGGTTCTAAGCGAGGGTCAAATTGAATTGAAGTATGCTGCGACAAATATTATGATAGCTGATATACTAACGAAAAATTTGCCTAAGCAAAAGCATGTTGAATTCAGAAATATGTTAAGTTTGAAATGAATTTGTAAACATGCTTGCATTGAGGAAGGGTGTTGAAAAAATGTATATCGATGTATGTACTTATATCAATGCACGCATGTACGATCACACAACATATGTTTTTCTCTATGCAGCGTTTGTCACACGAAGAAGATGGCAAACGCATAATGTAAAACTAACCACGCATAGTTAGTCTTCAATAAACTTCTCAATGATACACACGTATTGCGTTCATTATTATTTGGCCGGGTTTCCGTGACGAACCCCTCCCTCATTTCAATAGGAAGTATAATTTTAGCGGCGCGTCTTTTGGTAAATTGATCTTCAACAGCTTTTTTGTTGATATTTATAAATATGTCATGCTCCCATAACTTTATAAAATCGTTGACAGATTGTCGTTTTTCCTGATTTTCCTCTTTAACGTGTTCCGCCCACAAAATCTTCGCAGTTTTTTTAATTAGTGTAGTTAATTTTGTAGCTAAGGAAGGAATTTCAAACGACATAGATTCATTATCCCATTTTGCAACTGTTCGTATACTTTGGACAATTATATCTGTGTGTTTGGGAAGAATGGCATCCTCCAAATCCTTTATTTCGTTGCAATTCTCTTTAAGACAAATTAGAAGGCGACCCAGAGACCTCATGTTTTGCCGTATCATTTCATGCTGAAACTTTTCCCGCTTCTGACACTCAAAGTTTCCATATAAAACAATCAGTCGATCGTATAAAACAGTGTCAGATATTTCATCATCCTTAAAATAGGGCATAACTTGGCGCCGTAAAATATCGTTAGCTTGTTTATGCATAAAACCTGTCACTTTTCGTCCATTTCGTATAGTATCGCGAGTTCCTTTTTTATAGGAGTTGCTTGAACAATTTCGTATATGAAATCGAATGGTAGATTTTGGGAAAAATCCTCGGCAAAATGTGCAGGTAATAAAATCTTTTGGTCGGAGAGTAGAGTTAGCTCTTTTTTGTCGAGGAACAATTAAAGTACCGGTGTTCAATATATCGTCGGTATTATGCAAAAAATCACCTTCTTTTCTTATTTTGTCAATCATATGTTTACGCTCAGGTCCACTTTTTGGGTATCTTAGAAAACTTTTTACCTCCTGCTCATTTTTATGTTTGGCCTCAAGATGACGAGCAAATTTTGTCTGCAAAGTTTTGCAGAACTTACAAAAATGTTGTTTGCATTTTTTTTGTGTAGAACATGGTATAAATAGGTCTTTTAAATCATAAAGAGGAGTTTCAGTAGTAGAAATAGATATACTATTATTTATGGACGAGTCATTTATGTTTTCATTTGTAGATGTTTGAAAATTATCATTAGACTGCATTGTAGAGTCTGGCCAATTGGAGCCAAGTTCATTAAGTTCGTCTGTAAAGCCGCTAACGAATCTTGAACTCTCAGTTTGGAAAGTCCCATCAGCTAATTCGGTAGAATCTTAAGTTAATACGAAAACAAAAATACTGTGTTAATTAAAAATTAAACGGGAGAATAAACCGACTTGGATGAAATTAAAAACAAAATTGCATATAGATTATGTGTACAAAGTTTGGATTATGTAGCTTTTGAAATGTGGACAGTATTGACGAAATTGAATTTCAACGTGAACGGTGAACGGAAAATTAAACAAATAATTAACTAGTGCAAATGGGCTACTTACTAAGTATATTCAAGTCTTCGTTTATAAATTCAGTATGTATTTGTTCGTCAGCATCTGTTAAATAAAAGATATAAACACATTTAATTTTTGCTTAAGCCAGTGAGAATGTTACAGTTGAGCAAGCCCGATAGTGGCATACCCTATACACAAAAAAAAAACTTCCATTATGTTATATGCGTTGTTTCGCGCATATCGAAGGCAAAAAAAGAGCGACCACGTTGCTGAAGGTTAGTGGCGTAGTATTTCAATACTTCGAAACACCCTTTTATTACAAAATAAATTCTCAGACAAAATGAGTTTAATTAAATGAGGCCAACCGATAAACACTATTATACTGAATAAATGAAAACATTTTTAATAAATAAATAATGTATCTCAAAAACGTTTCGTCTTCTTACTTAGGCAAATTACTTAGAAGCTGTAAAATCGACCCCCTATATACATGGTGTCCATTAAAGACCAGTAGTGAGAAGAGCTTAAAAATGATAATTGAAATGCTGCATATTATGTACGAAAAAGTTAATTTTTCTAATATAAAAATTTGTAACGGTCTAGAGTCTATTGTATATTCTGTTCTTTAAATAATGGTAATTTCAAACTTACTGCTCCGGCGCTTGCGTTCGGGCGGGATGAATTCCTCATCATTATCATTGGTATTGTCATTGTCAGGCTTACGAACTGATTCTTCTTCAGAAAGGAGATCATGATCTATCACAAAAAAATAATAATAATTAGAATTATATATGTTATTTTACTCAAAGAAGTCCCTATTAGATATGTATTATAAAACAACATTCCGGTGTTGTAGAACAATTTAATACATACACTGGTCGTCACTTGAATAAGAACATAATTGAGTTCAGATTATTTTCATTTTTCCCCATTATACTTGTATTTTTATTACAAATTACTTTGGTTTCTAACTTTTTAATACTACCGTTTTTTTTTTTTTTTTACCTAATTTTGGCTCACAAATACAGAACGCAAAAATGCACCTTTATTTTTGCAGATTGCTTTGATTGCAGCTCGTTCAAAAATAGCGCGTCATTAAAATAAGAACATGATACTATTAGTCTTTCGATCGCTTGTAGTCAGGTTTGACAGATATATGTTTTATTAACCGATTTGGATGAAATTTGAAAGAAAAGTAGATTACGATTACGTGTGCAAAGATTGTTTTTTTTTTTTGTAGCTTTTGAAGTATGAACAGCTCGTTGGGTTTCTGCGCGCAACTATATGACCTGAAATCGGAATGTAAACTTTTTTTACGATTAAAAAAATGATGGAGAAACATCAAAGTCGCCAAGACGGTGTTGTCGTCTACGGAGATACATCGTTTTATAAAAGTTGTGAACTTCAATTTCTAACTGATTTGCAAAAAAGTTCTGGTGAAGAAATGCCTTTAAAGCCACCTAGTCAGAAATTTATCTTATAGTAACTACGTTAAAAGCATTTATGGTTCTCTCCAAAGTCGTACATACCAAGGTACATTAAAAAAGGATGGATGCACACATTAGTGAAACATTATGAATATTATAGACTCATCATTAAATATCCAAAACATCCATGTTGTTATTTATTTTTCTCAATATTGAAATAGAATTAATAAGTGTTTTTATTCAAGTGACTTCAAAAAACATCTTTATTTTGCAGTTGAATTTGTAAAATTTGATTAATTAAGAGATAACGCTACAGTTGAGCAAACCCGACAGTAATACCCTCTACACAGGCAAACTTCCGAAACTGAGCTATATGCGCCTCTAGCAGAAGAAAAAGGAAGAAGAAGAGTAAACTTGATGCAGCAGTTTGTGGGTATCGTCCACATGGCAGTTGGCGGCTGTCAGTCGCTATACCAAATGCTCTGATTAAAACGCAATTTGTAGAGTTGCAATCAAATGAGTGTCTACGTTAAATTTTAAATCGTCCACTTTTAATAAAAGCCAATTTTGCTATAAATAGATAATTGAAGGAAAGCAAAGTATAAAGTATAATATTAAACGTACAGGATTGTAAAAGTATAAAGATCTTTAAACTATCTATTTGGACGATGTAATATGTTGACCTGTGTATGTATGTAAGTAAGAAATATGATAGTCATTCATACAAATGTGCGAATTCTTGAGGATTGTATGTATGTATGTAAATAGTACACATAAATTTGTATTTAAATAACTGCACTTGTACATACATACATGCATATGTTCATATGTAGAAAAACCCATACAAAATTGTGTGTATGCTCAAATGTATACATATATGTATGTATTGGCATGTGCACCAGCGTGAGGACGCGCAGTATTTTCGCGCCTTTATACTGGTATACAGGTATGTCTATGCTAACTTTATGTATATACATACGTACTTCTTTCTATATATATAGACATACGTACATATACATATATGTACATGTATACGCGTAATACTTTCAATGGGACTCACGCTGTTTGCGCGCCTTTTTATATACATACATATGTATGTATGTACATAAAAAAATTTTGCATACACATAGTACATACATGTATACCAGTGCGCTTACCTTAAGATTGCATAAATAACATACATATATATGTACATAATAATACATATGTATGTAAAATTTATACATGCATACATATGTAACTGTAAAGTTGTAAAGTATCAATATGCGTATGTACTTACCTAGTTTTGCATTAAGCTCTTTGCATTTCTTTATTAATAAACCAGCATTATCTAAAATATACTGACGTATTATCCGTATTTATAATCTTAATAATTATTTCGACTTACCATTGGATTCAATTATCTCGGCTTCATACTTGCATCCGCCGAATTTTGCTTGACACTTTTGCCCAGTATTATTAGAAATCTTTTTGCTGGGCAACACATAAAAATCTCCGCACTTTATTAAGAAGTACATATCACTACCGCTCATGATGACTTCACTCCGTGATATGATTTCAGACGCTTAGAGATGCATTGAATTGATTGGAATCAGTTCAATATAACGGCTCACTAACTTAAAAAAAAGAACTTTCAGGTTCATTTGAGTCAAATTATTGCTCGATATGAACACTTAAGTTCGATAACGCAATGTAGCAAAACAGTCTTATCGCAATTTTAATATTACCCTTACAGAGCATGTATTCTCACCATTGCTATATTTGTAACACATCGCATGTAGCTATAATAGGAATGATTGGTGTATAATTTACGCTTGCTATAATAGCATGATTTTTAACACAATCGCAGTTAAATTGAAATTTGTAAATTTTTATAATGCCTACTACTATCAAAAAGCACTCAAAGGAACGATTATAAATAAATCACATTTAGTATTAAAGCGATTTATGGTTAGGTATGACTTTTCCACCAAAATGTGTATTAATAGATTTCTTATTATTCAGTAATATAATCTAAAGTTTCATCAAAATCGTCGCACTTTATCAAATAGCCGTCATAGGAACATCTGATATAATAAAACAAGAGGGAACACTACAGTCGAGTAAGCCAGTCAGTGGAATAACCTGTACCCAGACAAATTTCCGTCACTGTGTTATATACGCCCCCTAGTAGAAGCAAAAAGAAGAATAAGAGCGAACTTGAAGCTGCAGTTTGTGGGCGTAGTACTAGAGTAAAACTGTTTTGCTAATTACTTTTCTTAGAATAGACCGATTTGAAAATTTAAAACAAGAGTAGATATTTATATATAAATTACAAGTGCAAAGTTTGGTTAATATTGCTTTTGAAATATTGATCCAAATTGAACCAGTATGCATATTTATAGCTGTCATCAGTACGATTGGTGAATAAATCACTCTTAGTCTTAGAAAACTATAAGTTTTATTATGATTTTCTCATTGTTTATTATGCCTAAGCATAATCTAAAGATTCATCACAATCTGAGCAGCATGTTATATAACTGCCATAAGTACGATTGGTGAATAAATCACTCTTAGTCTTAGAAAACTATAAGTTTTATTATGATTTTCTCAGTGAAATCTATTTACGGATCTCTTATTATGCCTCAACATATCATATAGCATTCAAAGGAACAATTTGTGAATAAGTCACTTTTAGTTTAAAAACTGTATATCATATTACGAGTTTTCCACCAAAATGTGTATTTATGGATTTTTTATTATGCCTAAGCATAATCTGAAGGTTCATCACAATCTGAGCAGTATGTCATATCACTGCCATAAGTACGATTGGTGAATAAATCACTCTTACTCTTAGAAAACTATATGGTTTATTATGATTTTCTCATTGAAATCTATTTATAGCATTTTAAAGGAACAATTTGTGAATAAGTCACTTTTAGCTTAAAAACTGTATATCATATTACGAGTTTTCCACCAAAATGTGTATTTATGGATTTTTATACCCTGTACCCAAAGGGTACAAGGGTATATTAGTTTTGTGCGAGTGCACATGGAACACACAGAAGGAGGCTTGGTAGACCCCACAAAGTATATATATTCTTGATCAGCATGACAAGCCGAGTCGATATAGCCATGTCCGTCTGTCCGTCTGTCTGTCCGTCTGTCTGTCTGTATGAACGCAAGGATCTCCGAAAGTATAAGAGTTAGAATAACCAAACTTGGTATACAGATTCTCCTGAGACCGAGAAAGGACGAGTTTGTTCATTTTTTCTGATCCATTAATTAATTAATTAATTAATTTAATTACTTTTTTGTGGGGTGGTACAGGGTATTTAAGAGTTGAGCCTGCTCGACTTTAGCATTCCTTTCTTGTTTATTATGCCTAAGCATAATCTGAAGGTTCATCACAATCTGAGCAGCATGTTATATCACTGCCATAAGTACGATTGGTGAATAAATCACTCTTAGTCTTAGAAAACTATAAGTTTTATTATGATTTTCTCATTGAAATCTATTTACGGATCTCTTATTATGCCTCAACATATCATATAGCATTCAAAGGAACAATTTGTGAATAAGTCACTTTTAGTTTAAAAGCTGTATATCATATTACGAGTTTTCCACCAAAATGTGTATTTATGGATTTTTTATTATGCCTAAGCATAATCTGAAGGTTCATCACAATCTGAGCAGTATGTCATATCACTGCCATAAGTACGATTGGTGAATAAATCACTCTTAGTCTTAGAAAACTATAGGTTTATTAAGATTTTCTCATTGAAATCTATTTACGGATTTCCTATTATGCCTCAACATATCGTATAGCATTTAAAGAAACAATTTGTGAATAAGTCACTTTTAGCTTAAAAACTGTATATCATATTACGAGTTTTCCACCAAAATGTGTATTTATGGATTTTTTATTATGCCTAAGCATAATCTGAAGGTTCATTACAATCTGAGCAGCATGTTATATAACTGTCATATGTACGATTGGTGAATAAATCACTCTTACTCTTAGAAAACTATAAGTTTTATTATGATTTTCTCATTGAAATTTATTTACGGATTTCCTATTATGCCTCAACATATCGTATAGCATTTAAAGAAACAATATGTGAATAAGTCACTTTTAGCTTAAAAACTGTATATCATATTACGAGTTTTCCACCAAAATGTGTATTTATGGATTTTTTATTATGCCTAAGCATAATCTGAAGGTTCATCACAGTCTGAGCAGTATGTCATATCACTGCCATAAGTACGATTGGTGAATAAATCACTCTTAGTCTTAGAAAACTATAGGTTTATTAAGATTTTCTCATTGAAATCTATTTACGGATCTCTTATTATGCCTCAACATATCATATAGCATTCAAAAGAACAATTTGTGAATAAGTCACTTTTAGTTTAAAAACTGTATATCATATTACGAGTTTTCCACCAAAATGTGTATTTATGGATTTTTTATTATGCCTAAGCATAATCTGAAGGTTCATTACAATCTGAGCAGCATGTTATATAACTGTCATATGTACGATTGGTGAATAAATCACTCTTACTCTTAGAAAACTATAAGTTTTATTATGATTTTCTCATTGAAATCTATTTACGGATCTCTTATTATGCCTCAACATATCATATAGCATTCAAAAGAACAATTTGTGAATAAGTCACTTTTAGTTTAAAAACTGTATATCATATTACGAGTTTTCCACCAAAATGTGTATTTATGGATTTTTTATTATGCCTAAGCATAATCTAAAGATTCATCACAATCTGAGCAGCATGTTATATAACTGTCATAAGTACGATTGGTGAATAAATCACTCTTACTCTTAGAAAACTATATGGTTTATTATGATTTTCTCATTGAAATCTATTTATAGCATTTTAAAGAAACAATATGTGAATAAGTCACTTTTAGCTTAAAAACTGTATATCATATTACGAGTTTTCCACCAAAATGTGTATTTATGGATTTTTTATTATGCCTAAGCATAATCTGAAGGTTCATCACAGTCTGAGCAGTATGTCATATCACTGCCATAAGTACGATTGGTGAATAAATCACTCTTAGTCTTAGAAAACTATAGGTTTATTAAGATTTTCTCATTGAAATCTATTTACGGATTTCATATTATGCCATAACATAATCTGAAATGGCCTCAAATTCGGAGCACTATATCGTATAGCATTCAAAGGAACAATTTGTGAATAAGTCACTTTTAGTTTAAAAACTGTATATCATATGACGAGTTTTCCACCAAAATGTGTATTTACGGATTTTTTATTATGCCTAAGCATAATCTGAAGGTTCATCACAGTCTGAGCAGTATGTCATATCACTGCCATAAGTACGATTGGTGAATAAATCACTCTTAGTCTTAGAAAACTATAGGTTTATTAAGATTTTCTCATTGAAATCTATTTACGGATTTCATATTATGCCTTAACATAATCTGAAATGGCCTCAAATTCGGAGCACTATATCGTATAGCATTCAAAGGAACAATTGATGCTTAAATCACTGTATTTTAAAACAACAGAAAACGTTACAGAAGCCGAAAGAAGAAGAAGAGCGAACTTGATACTGGAGTGAAATTGTTTCACTAATAGCTTTTCTTAAAATTGACCGTTGTGGATTAGATTTAAAATAAAATTAGATATTTTTATACGAATTACGTGTGCAAAGTTTGGGTTATGTTGCTTTTGAAATATGGATATTATACGAAATTCTGTTCTCTCGTCATGCTGAGCAAGAGTATATGTATATACTTTATGGGGTCGGAGATGCTTCGTTCTGCCTGTTACATACTTTGAACAAACCTAATATACCCTTTTTATTCTACAGGTACAGGGTATAAAAACTGTTCTTTTAATTCATGTTGGAAAGTTTATGAAAAATATTTACAGTCATTTTATTATTTTTCTCAGCAAGTTCGTATATCCATATATACCACTGATATATTATAAGCACCTTAATACTATATATTTCACTTTATTCAAACTTATTATGTACTATATACATATATACTTATGTGAAATACGAAATTTTCCATCAAAAGTAAATTTTCAGACGTAGCGATAATTTTAAGGACTGGGAACAGTTCCTGAGAACAGTGCAGAACTACACACATCGTAAATTGTGGGGACACTGTCCTCGAAATGGTCAAAACATAAGTTCTGGTCTCAAAATCATCATTAGGCCTATATATAATATAGTGTTGCCACATCGGTGGAAACATGTAACAAGAATATATCGAAAAAAGCCATTCAATACAAGTTTGATGAACATTTTTTTAATTTTTCATCTAGCATTACATACTGTTAAGATAAACAGACCAAAATTTGTCATAATATTAAAACAGATTTTTAGTAAATTGCTTTAATGTCATGTGTCCTCAAAATTAGCGTTATACATATTTTTTCAAAATTTAAAATGGAAAAAAATACAATTTACGGCGTATACATAGACATGACACAGGCATATTTTTGGTTCAATTAGGTGTCTTATTTCAGCTGGAATTGTATTTTCATATTAAATGTCTTGATTCATATAAAATTTGCAAATGTCCTCAAAATATACGTTAAGCCAGGAAAAATTTCGAGGTGCGTCCTCAAACAATACAAAAGTCTCCGAAATAATCACTATGCATATAAAAAGTCCTCAAAAGCAATGTTATACATACATATATATATATATATATATATATATATATATATATATATATATATATATATATATATATATATATATATATATATATATATATATATACATATGTATATAAATAGAGGGTGTGAAATTAAGACTGTATTATGTGAACATAAGGAGTGACAGAACAAAAACAATTAACGCGATTGTCTAAGAAGCCTCGCTGAGTGCTCATAAATAGTCAAATTTATAACCAGCAGTCGTTGCTTGTACCCGCTACATGGGTCGCACCCATGAGGTGTTAAATAATTTTAATTTCCAAAACTAAGAAACCGATTATGTATTCTCACTTTAAAGTAATAAAACACTTTGTTTAGCGGATAAAGTTTCTGGAAGATAATTATTGTCAACTTTAAGTGTACATACATATGTATGCATATTAAGTATTGGTTTGTATGTAAGTTTGTGACATGCTTTGATATGTAACTCCTTTTTTAAACCTTTACTCAAATGGGAAAGAGGGTGAGGTAAGAAGGCGAATTAATGTTGAACCATATTTAATTATACTCTGTGCAAGAAATGTACAAGAGTATATTAGGTTTGCGCGAGCTGAAAAATGTAATGTATATTCTTGATCAGCATGACAAGACGAGTCAATCTAGCCCTGCCTGTCTGTCTGTCCATCTGTCTGTCCGTATGAACACCTGGATCTCAGAGACTATAAGAGCTAGAGACACCAAATTTTGCACAAATATGCCTTATGTGTGTACGCTGTGCAAGTTTGTTTTATTTTTTTGATTTGCCCTTCCGCCCTATGGGGGCTATCCAGATTTTCCATTCGTATAATCGCCTATATCTCGGACACTATAAGAGCTAGGGACACCAAATTTTAGTCCCACATGCCTTATGTGAATACGTAGAAAATGTGTATTTTGGAATTTCCCTCTCTCCCCCATCTCCCCCGCAATTAGTGATTTTCCATAATTCCGGTGATTCTTGGAATTTTTCATTGATAGGCCGATTTCACAGGAAGTTATAGCCATATATGTATGTATGACCAAGCAGTGCCCGCTGCTGTTGTTGTTGTTACTGCTTTCCACAGGCACACGAGTCATAATTATTCTACACATATGTACAGGGTATTTCAAAGTCGGGACACCCATTTAAAATAACAAATAGTTTAATTTACTATAATCCATAGTAAAATTTGCAATTTTTCTCAACTTTAATTTTAAGTTTATTACATTTTAATATTTTTAATAGTTAATTCAAATAATTTCAAATGTAAAATAGAGACAAAGCTTGGCTAGAATTACCAAGACGGTTTTCAGTGGTTGTGTGGGATAAATACACAGTGTAAGCACTAGAAATAGAGGAATAGAAAAATTTCCAATGCTGATAGAGATATATTTTCAGAGGGCCATCCAAAGAGTATGTAATGGCGAGTTTATCAAATAAACATAGAGTGATACGCAATGTTCCACATTTAAAGAGAGTATAATTGAAGAAAGAGCTGTCACTTAATGTGGTTTGAATTTTGCACGAACTCAGATGGCGAAATGAATTTGAAATAATCCGACGGGTGAACTTACTACATACACCTACGGCTTCGCCTTCATAGAGTTACAGTTTATAAATGCAAATTCGTACAAATTCTTCAAACTGCTTTTACCGATTTTATAAATTTGTCTGATGAATTGCCATGGAATTTCCAGCACTACAAAGGTCCGGTTTCAAGCGTAATCCGGTAATAAAAAATCGCGATTAGGATATTAGGAATGATAGCATGATTAAAAATTTAGGATATTTTCCCCAACAAAGAATGATTATTTCTTTAATGTAGGTGGTTTACGGTGATTTTGTTCAATGAATACGAGCTATTCTGAATATGTAGCTTAAGCACCCACCCACAGGCGAGCATTTGGCCTGAACTTGTTGTGCTCGTCAAAATGTTCGACGTTAGTGGGGATACTCGGGTGAATTTAAATGCTCGACGTTTTGCTCGTCACGTTAGTGGGAAAATGTATTTGTGCTGCAGAGCAAGTTCAGGCAACATGCTCGCCTGTGGATGGGGTGCTTTATTCCAATTATGAAACTACAATTTTACGCAAAGCCTACAACATAATGAAAATGGCATTGCTTAGTTTAATTTTATGGTAAATTTCCTAAATGTTTAAGTAATTCTATTCTCTTTCAATTGGCAGTCTTAGAATTGTATAGAAATGTTTATGAAAAGTATCTAAAAAATGCATGTCTACGCACTGTTTCAAGAAAATTCGTTTTATGTATTTCTCATCATACGCACATATAATACAAGTATTCACAGTTTCATTCCAATTATTTGCTACACAGCTCTCCAGAATTAACCAGCAAAAGCCTTCGAGAACTGACGCTGTCCTTGACGCACAGGCGCACGCTGTTGAACACGTTGTTGAACACGCTGTTGAGGGTATTCGGGCTCAACGTATTGCGGGTGGGTTCTGATGTATTCCAAGGAGCGGATGATCGCAGCTGGAATTGGTGGTGGTGTGGGCACGTGGGAGCCCGCTGGCTGGAAGCCATTGGCATCGGCCACATAGTTCAGTTGAACGAGTTCACCCTCTGGCGAGTAGTAAGAAAATCCACCTGTGGCATGGTCGCCACCAATGCCAGATTCTTGGGCAGAAATTCCATTGCTGGTCTGCCATTCGTATCTATAGTTATCCAGATTAATCTCGCTATTGCTCTTAACTGTTTCGGCGTAGGCATCCGAGGGGTTACCAACAGCAAAAGCGCCAGCAATGGCAATGGAAGCAATGAGCAGCTGTAAGAGTAATATCTTTAATATCCTGATAATAACTAATGCGTGTTAAGGCACTTACTAAACGGAACATTTTAGCTTGAATCAGTTGACTGTGTGTACTGAACTGGAACACTGAATCGTTTGATGATTTGGTTGCAGATCACTAACCATTTTATACAAAAAATCTGCTGCGCGATCTAAAGACTCACTTGAGAGTCACTTCCAACAACTTTTACGTCAAGCTGCAGGAAATTAATCTAAATAACAATAAAACAACCAACTAAATCGCTTTGGTCAAACTGGAGCAGAGCGAAAACTACACACAGGCAGCGGTACATTAAGCCCCACCACACCCGACTCAATCGCAACTGAAGCGACGAGCGCACCATGGGTGTGCACCTAAAAACATTGGCTAAAAATGGTCGATGGGTACACATATTTCCAATCCATTAAGTATACTACTTATACTATATATGTGCCTATATTAAGTATACTGTATCGCTGGGAAGACGATGTTGTGAGCAATTTTGTGCGTTTTATTCCACAGTGTGGCGGTGACTGTCTTCCACACTTTGTGTGGGCTGGCCACGCATTGGAAGAGAGGCAATAGTTAAAAGCATCTCCACATGCGGCAATGTCAATGTCGAGTCAAAGGCATTGCTTCAAGCCAGAGTCGCTGAGGGTGTGGTGTAGGGTGGGGAGGTGAGTGGAGCACGCCAATCCGCCAAACTGACCGCGGCACACCCAAACACGGATTTGATTAAATGCATTTTAAATAAGTATGTATATGGTAGGTACATATTTAGCATAATTTATAGTTTCGCTTGTTCAGCAAATGCTCCTCAAGTATTGTCCGACGAGCAGTGACGAGCGCGACGGTTTTTGTTTGCAGCTAAGCTTTTTATTGCTTCGATTTTAATTAATTGGCTTTGTCCGTAACGCTTTTATTTGTACTTGGCCTGTGAGCCGTTGAAATATGTGCGTTTAACAAATTGGCCCATAAAACTGAGCTAATATTTTAACAATGGTCAAAATAAGACATCAAAACAGGATTTACTTGTTTCCTAATGTTCATTAAAAAGCGGTTTATCTGCAATTAATTTATGTGAACAACATGACTATAAACTCTTCAATTTCATCTATATTGGAACTTACAGTTTGATATAAGGACAGAAAGAATACTGAAGTAATCACATTTTACATTGCCCATACTTGTTGGCCTTACCTTGAAAGATTGTATCGGAGCCGGGAACTCGTAAAATTCGTTTGAAAGTGAAAATGTTGTTTGGTTGTTTGCTTGCTTTGCATACATATTTATGCAAATGATAAGTTTATTTCGGGCCTACAGGTGGTTCTGATTGAACGCTAAGCGTTCTATAAGCTAATTTAATTTTTTTAAATTTGTATACTATACCTGATAGCTTTCGCTTAGCGTCGCTTTTACAAAAGAAATGAATTTATTACTCGTACATAAGTAAAGCTATTTTATTAAAAACAAAAATTAATATTGATCATTTTGAATATTTTCTGAGATAGACATGCAAATTTTATACTCGTAGCATATTTTAGTTATTTGCGTTTTTTTCCATTCCTTTGAAAACATACATGTACGGGGTGGACTGTATGGCAACAAATGAGCATTTCGGTTTTTGTAATGGTTTTGATCGCCTTTCCCATTGCGTATGTATGTAAGTATTTGTAGGCATCTGACAAATTAACAGTTTCTTCAATTGAGCTAAGAATGTATTCAAAGGTTAAATAGTATGGGAAAACTCTTAACATTATTCGATAAAACTTTATTTACACATATCGTTTATTTGTGGATATTGTTTAAAAAAAAACACTTCACAGTTGAAAGTGGTGTTTCATATATAATTGTTTTTTCGTAACTTAAAACGAATTATTTGCAAAATAAATCGCAGCAGATATAATCAATATTGGTTATTTTCTTAAGGTCATAATTGAAATAATATTTATTATTGCTTGCATATTTATTGAATATTATTACTTATTATTGATACTTCTTAAAATCCATTCACATCTTCGGTCTATGTTGATTTAATTCCATTTAAATCAATTTGAATTTTTGCCAAATTATCTTATAAGTCATGTCAGTATATGTATATACAATATAATTAAAACATTTTATACTTTCTGTTGATGAATAAACATTGTGTTTAATATGTATGTAAGCGTATTTACATATCTGTATATCCATAAATTACATGTTGGGCGATGGGCTAGGACGCGCGGACGGGGTTTTAAAAATACCATTTGGTTGTCCCGAAAATAGCCGACTCATGCTCATCTCTAGTGAAAAGCTCATTTAACCTCGGTTAAACATGGAAGCCAATTTTTAATATATGTACTAGTTATACAAAGTATAAAAAGGTATATTAGTGCTGAGCGCATATTTATCAAATTATCCTTATCCCTAGCCAACCCGAGTTTATTTTATGATTTTTCCTCCACTACAGAATAACATCCTTCAATTTAATTTTGACCTTGTCTTTTATATAATTGATCGTGAATTTTAATAATCTAATATCGGTTGAAAGGATGATCTGGCTGTACTCACCGATCAGAGTTGGGCACCCAAAAGGAAATCATAGGTCGTATTCAAGTGCCTTGACTGCCTACAGGCAACACGAAGCCTTCTTCTTCGCTCAAAACTTAACTTAGCGCTAAAGCTTCTTCCATGTCATTGTACTTCACCTAAGCTTAGACACAAGCTTTACTGAACATAAGCTTACACACTAGGGCTATGTGCCGTTGCACGGCTTTAAGAAAATAGGAATAATGGCTTTATACTACTAATGGGAACATTGTCCGAAAATGTGTAGTTAGAAGAACTGCTACTTATTCAAAAATATTGAATACCCATCAAATCGTTATTGAAGCAGTTATCCAAGCTATAATTTATAATAGTTTTAATTAACACTGCGACTGATTCTCCATAGACTCTATAGGCTGTACAAGTATTAAATATTTCTTAACACTTTCTTTTACTTTTACTTTTTATGCACACGACAAATTTAAATTGATAGTATGGCTGATGGGCCGACAGTCGTTAATTGTTAGTCTTCTAAGATTTTAGAAATATTGTGAAATCGCTCTTCTCCCACTGAAAGCCAACACAATGCCTCGCAGAATTTTTGAATCAACGTGATCTGCCAGGGATCACAAATATTAAAGTTAAAAATCGGTTTAAAGTCTGCAACGACAAAATTAATGGGAAACTTATTCAAAGCAACAATCTTGATGGGTGGAGATGTCGTAACCCCTCGAATTCTCTTAGCCCTTTAATTCAAAATATGTATAGCCTTTTCTTATTCAATCAGCTTTCGGAATTTTGGAACTGTGTGGCTAGATTTCTGCTCGCATGGACAACTTCTTATATTTTTCGTATTTCTGTGTCGGCCATCGAGATAGTATCTATAGTATATCTACGCATACTATGGACAAACAAGACATAAGACACAAGACCCACAAGTATTCAGGAACTAAACGTAGACCTAAACGTTTCTTCTTATCCATACAACGGGAATGAGCAAAAGAGAATTAGTTAGCTTAAAAAAAAGAAAGGAAAAGCTCTAATTTGTTGTCTCATTAAATAATAATATAGAGCATAGTTGCAAGTTCGTGGCAATGGCCAAGGTGGGACTTATGCTAATATAAAGCCGATAAGCGGCCAAACCAGTTTCGGCGAATGAAACCAAAATTAAATGAAATCAAAGCAAATTTGTTGTTTCTTTCTTTCTTGTATTCAAAGTTTTGGATAGTTTGCTTTGCCATATCTTCTGCATCTGCATCAAATTAGTTTCGCGTGTGGAATTGCGTCAACTTTTTGGCGGCTATAGTAATTCACACTAGTTCTGGGGTCGCCTAATTAGCATATTGAATGGTACGAGGGTGGGCTGAAAAACAATCGGAATAGGCATTAACAAAACTTTAGCGGGTAAAACATAATTTTCAATTAATTCTTAGCTTTGCCTTCTCCAAAGGTCGTCAAATTTTTGAATACCTTCTTGATGCCACGATTTGGAGAATATATTGAATGAGCAATTAATTCGTATCGGGCTAATCGATAATTGCCTGATTTGACTCCATGTGACTATTACCTTTCCGGAAAATTGCATAACGCCATTCTGAAGGACGTGAAAATCGATTATTTTGAAGTGCTTATTTATAGTGGAAAACGGTGTATTGAGGTTAAGGTTAATTATTTTGAATAAAATAAACAAATTATTTGCCAAACTATCAATTACGTGTTCTTATTTGTCTGTGTACTTAATCTCATCTCTCATCTGTTTTCCATTATGATTCTATTCCATTATTGGGTCATTTATATATTTTACGGGTGAAATCGAAAGTCATGCTCAATGAGATTTTATTTCAACATCCGTTTCCTTTGTGCATCTAGAATCGGTTCATCAATATTAAACATTATTAATCTCTTGTTTGCCTTATTATTATTATTATTATTATTATTATTATTATTATTATTATTATTATTATTATTATTATTATTATTATTATTATTATTATTATTATTATTATTATTATTATTATTATTATTATTATTATTATTATTATTATTATTTTTGTGATGTTTCTTTTGGTGGAGAGCTACAGAAACCTTAAGCTACATAAACCAAACTTTGCACATATAATAAATATAAAATAATCTTTTTATGTCTTTATTTTCACCAAAATCGGTCAATTCTTAGAAAAGTTATTATCGAAAAAATTTCACTCTTAATATTAATTGTTTTGTTTAAGTTTTTATTTTATTGTTTTTGTTATTCACGCGCGACTCCCTTGCTTATAGAAAAATAAGGTATAAAATATTTATATTTTTTAGCCACTCTATATTAGTGATGTGCTGTCCAATTACTTCCGATTACTTTTCAGCCCGTCTACGCGCTACATACATACATGTACATACATATATGTATGAATGGGATCCATGGGTGTGTATTATGCAAATGACATAGCCAAGCGCGATTATTCATAGAAGTCTAGACCAAAAGAAGTGTAGTACGTAAAATGTTGAAAACGAAAGCTTTTAATATGCAAACCAAATATTGAAGAAATAATAAGAACTATGCAAATTAAGATGAAATTTTAATAAATTGCATACCATGCTTAGATTGTAAAATTGGATCTTGTCTGTGTGTAATCGTGTGCATGTGAGCGTTTCTGAACATATTGCTATGGAGTAAATGAAATCGATATAACCGGTCGGCACCAAGAACTTGACAGAACTAGTTGTGCTTCCGGGCCACAAATTTGCGTGGTTTTAATGGCTATGCTAAAGAATGGGTGTAATTTTCATCCCCACAATAGCTGAGAGAATAAAAGCTTAGACTTTTTTTTTTTAGATTAAAATTTGAGTTTGTCAACTCCATTGTATGGTTTCTTAGTAAGTATCCATTTGGACATATTCATTTAAAATGATTGTTATTTAATTTTTATACACTGTAAGGTAAAAACGGTTATTAAGCTTGTGCAAAATATGTAACAGGCAGGAGTCATCTGCGACCCCGTAAAGTTATATTCTATTATTATTATATTTATCAGCGTGACGAGACGAATCGATCTAGAATATCCATCCGTCCGTCCGTCCGATTGGATGAACTCTTGGATTTCGAAAACGGCTAAGCGCACATTAACAAAACTTGGTATGTAGACACTCCTAGTTCCTAGGCTACACGAGTTTATTTATTTTTATTAAACCATCAATTCTAGAGTTCTAAACAAAACAATTTCATTTTAGTACTATGCTCACAAACTGCAGCATCAAGTTCGCTCTTCTTCTTCGTTTAACAGAAGGCTGGGTCGGAAGTTTGTCTGGGTATAGGGTATTTCACTGTCGGGCTTGTTCGACGGTAGCGTTTTTTCCTGTTTTATTCCATGAATGTAATTTAAAATATTTAAACACGTGAATATTCTTACGATATTTTAACGAAACTACTCCGGGTTCAATGAATCATTTTATGCTCAAATTTTCGATATTTTTACTCACTTACTAAATCTGAACACCAACTTTTACGATCTGGACATTTCCGAAGAATTGGAGTTTAAGTTGCTTTATAAACATGGGGACTTCAGCGGTTCGGGTTTGTCAATTTTTTAATGGTTTGATTTCTTCAGAGGTAATAAAACTTCAACTCAACTATCCCTAGCCAGATGAGCCCGGATCGTTAAGGGACTGCTTCCGAATTTGCATGCAACTTTGCTTTGCATTGGTAAACCATTATGGAAACGAGCAAATCGAGATGAATGTAAGCTATATTAAATTATTATCTATGGGGGTTTTCCCGATTTTCCATTCGTATAATCGCCTATATCTCGGAGACTATAAGACCTAGGGACACCAAATGCCCAGATGCCTTATGTGAATACGCAGAAAATGTGTATTTTGTAATTTCCCTCCCTCCCCCCCTCTCCCATGCAAATCGCGATTTTCTCTAACTCCCGTAATTCTTGGAATTTCGAAAATTTTGCAAATACCCCCAGTTAGTAATTATGTGTCCGTATGCCAAGTTTCATCATGATAGACCGATTTGACAAGAAGTTATAGCCATAAATAAATTTGAGGTAAAATCGATCAAAAAATTTTGTTGTTCTTACTTTTTTTAATTTCTATAATTATTCTAAACATATGTACAGAGTATTTCAAAGTCGGAACACCCGACTTTAGCTTTTTTACTTGTTTAAAATTAAATTTGTTCTTTTTTAAAGGCGAGGCTACGATTAGTGACTTTTACTTATAAAGAATATTTATGAGATTCAGATACTCGAATTGACAGTTGAATGGACAAACCTAAGGGTATAAGTACATTTGATTTCTCTGGCAATAAGAATTGGTAATAATTTTAATTCCATAAAGTTTACGGAAGGTATATGTACTTGTATGTATTATACTATATAGATGTAAAATATAGACTGATGTTTTGTTTGTTCTTGTGGGAATCAAATGATATCATAATGATATTACTAAAGGAGCAATAGACAACATAAACATCTCCCAGCCGCAATATAAGGATACATTATTGACGGCTATCAAAGAAAACATGATATTATAGTGTATCTTGAGAGGCACATGCTGGATTTACGTAGCACTTTAAGAAATGCTGCTGAAAGATTTGAAAGCTGAAGACAGTTGGCAAAGAACGTATGGGTTGTGATCAAATGAATACTTCATGAGCAATTTATTTAAAATATGAAAGTGCCTTAGAACTTTAAAGGGCGATATCTCAACTGCTGCGCTCCTTGTCGCTCCTCCTGATGCGGGTGTGTCCGTATGTATTCCAAAGCCTTTAGTATCGCTGCCGGAATTGGTGGTGGTGTTGGCAGGTGGGCACCACTGGGATGATAGCCGTTCTCATCGGCCGTGTACGTCAACTGCACCAGCTGGCCATCGGGCGCATAGTAGGCAGAGGAACCGCTTGCATAGTAGCCACCAACACCCGTCTCCTGGGCCGCTATGCCATTGGAAGTCTGGTACTGATAGCTGTAGCTGCCATCCTCCTTAAGGTCGCTTTTAAAATCGCGTGTCTCCGCTGCTGCATCATAGGCATCCGGACGTGCTTGGGCAAAGGCCAAAAGGGCTGCGGCTATCAAAATGAACTGCAATTTGGTTGTCATGGGTGTCCTCGTTTGATTGAGATTGGTGAAGTGCGCTTTACTTACAATTTTGTACATGTCTGTGGTTGGAGCCTGTTGTTACTTTGAACTCGGAGCGAGAACGAATGTGAATTGTACGGGATGCTGGCGCATTTATAGCATTTTGCCACGCCAATTATTTTGGGCCAGGCCCAAGCGGCAACAGCATCAGCAACCGCAACCAATATCTCCAACTTACATACAAACACACCTGCATACGAGTATATACAAACTTACATACATACAACAAGCTTCATGCAATTGCCACTCTGTCTCACTATTTTGGGGCACTGAGCGAACTCATAAATTTTATGTTGCCGTCTTCGCTTTCGTTTCATTTTGGTTTGGTTTTTATTTCATTTTTTTATACCCTGTACGAACGGCAAAAGGGGTATATAGGATTTGTGCACAGTATGTAACAGCTCCTGCCTCTTTCATCTCCGACTTCATAAAGTATATATACTTTTAGTATATACTTACGTATATTCCTAATCAGCATGATGAGACATATCGACCTAGAAAAGCGAATTCGTCTGGATCGGCGTCTGGATTTTTTAAACGGCTTAACAGCAGCAGAATGTCTGGAACACTGTCCACAATTCTGAAACTACATTAACTTAACATACGTTATTTTCGTACTTAAATTTCCGCCTAGTCGTTAGATTAAAGAAACTTTAGAGAGTTTGACTTCCTTTTCTATTTGATTCTGTTATACTCGTTGATAACAACGCATATACTTGTACATATATAAGTAGTAACTACAAGTACATAGTATAAAATAATGGAAGAGGCATTTGGGTACAGAGTATTTCACTGTCTATTAGTATTTCTCTCTTGCTTATTGTAAATTTGTTGGCGGTATTTACATTCAGTTTATTGGCAGCTTTATGAACATGTGAAACTCAATTTGTATTTAGGATGTTAGTAATTTTTCATTAGCACCTTTTTCACCTACCCCATTGCTTTTATCAATGAGTCTGCCTTTAGTCGAGGCCGTGCCTTTTTTTCCTTTGGTTCATTTTTCTTTGGGCAGCACATTCATGACATTATTTATGTGAATTAACCAATACCGCGATGTTCTCAAAAGTACGCAAATTATTTAAAATGCTTAAAATGTAATGTTTGCAGGCCGGAAATTGCGATGAGGGTACCGAAAAGTTAAAATTCAAAGTTTTCAACGATGTACATTTGTATTCATAAAATGAACACAAAACTGTCCAAACAATTTTTTATAATAAATCGTCGTTTAATCAATTCTCAAAATCGATTAAGAATATTATGCACTAGGTCAACGCCATCATTTTTTACGAAGTCCTCAAGTGTGCCCCAAAATGAAAAAGACGAAAACATACGCAGAAGGTTTAACTTGCGCCACAACTTTGCGGCACATGAACGACCTTGTCGTGGCAGCTCGTGGCAGGCAAAAACAGATGATTTTAACATACATATGTAAACATGTATGTGTATGTACATAAGCGATTGTAGTTACAGATGGGGAAATTGTTCGTTTTGATAAGAAAATAAGAGATGTGCAGTTTGCGGCGTGACTCACGTGGGCAATATTATTACTGTGCTATCTGTTATTTAAATAGCATCCCTTTTTAAATCAAACCTTCAAATTAGGAACAACAATTAAATCAAGAAAAGAAACTGCAAACAGCATTTTCGAGGATATTGAAAGAATTGGCGTATTATGACTGTCGTATTAATTTCTTTGTACTAATAATAATAATTACTAATACTAATAATTCATTTATCTGTTTTCTAAATTCATGTTTGGTGAACCGCCAATAAGCGAATCTTACTTACAGTATGTGCATAAACATCTCCTTAAATGTAGTTATGACGCCATCAATGGAATACTAGTTAAGCATGTTACACAAATCACAGCTTAAATCATAAAAGGTAAGATCCTCTTTGAATGTTCTATTTGAAAATTTTGGCGTTTAGGCATGCAAATGTCTGCGATGAGCTGCATAAATTTACATTAACATTGGGAAGACCTTCGTGGAACTAGCTTTAGCCAAAGATATATGTATTATTATTATTAATTGATGAAACTAGTTTTTGTAGCGCCACATTAGTTGCGATCGTATATAAAACCCCGCGAATTTCGTCAGAAGACAAACATTCGTAGTTCGACTAAGAAACGGAATACTCAACTCAACATGAAGTTCATCATTGTCTTTGCTGCCCTCTTCGCTGTTGCTCTGGCTGCTCCACCTTCCAATCAAGGTGAGGTACAGATCGTGCGCAGTGACTCTAATGTTGGTCCTGAATCCTTTGAATATGGGTAAGTTGTATATAAATAAGTACATCGGATCGTCTCTATAGTGATTAATATCCGTAATATCTAGGTATGAGACCTCCGATGGTGTTTCGGCAAGTGCAGAAGGACATCTGAACAATGCTGGCACCGAAAACGAAGCCCTTGCAGTACGTGGATCCTACACATGGGTGGACCCTGAGGGTCAGTCACATACCCTTACCTATATTGCCGACGAGAATGGTTTCCAGCCACAAGGCGCTGATATTCCCGTTGCCCCAGCGGCTTAATTAAATAAAAAATGATAAGAATATAAAAAATTTATTTTTGGTTTCTCTTTAATTATGGAATATGTTACAATTAAGGGGTATGCGTCAGTTTGAGTCTATGATAAGACTTTTTTGTAATACTATAATTAGCTAAACGGAGCTGAAGTTGATCAACTGAAATTGTGTTTTCAGTAGGAAAGTAATGCATGATTTCAAAAATGTATAAATATGATGTATTTGTATATTACTCAATTCATATTACTCCCAGTATTTCGCTTATTTATAAATGAAAAGGAAGAACGAATGCTGTTGTCGTGTGATCTTGCGTCTTATACGTTTGCCTTACCGCCTTGCGCGTTTTTATGCAATTAATGTAAACAAAAAATTGGTATTAGGTCTTTAAATAAAAACAAGATAGAACAATAAAGTCGAGCTCGCCCGACTGTGAAATATCCTGTACCCAACAAAATTAAAAAAATATATTTTAAAAATTAATTTAAAAAATTTGATTAGTTATATAAAAAATATGCAATACATATGTACATAAATAAGTGGAGACATATGTTTATGTACAGTTTACATAGCATATGCGTGTTTACAAAATTAAGTCAAATCAGCAACCACTACGGGCATAGCTTGGGCAGAGATTAAATATATGGCTATAACTACCTTAACAATTGACATATCATTTTGATCACGAATATATGTATGTGTATATATTCTTTGTGGGAACTGCTCTTTACAGATTATTTGTATGCTAATAATAGAATAGTGTGAGGGCATAGCATGTTCTGCCGACTATGGTGATAACCCCTCCAAAAAGAATTCGTCGTCCTGCTCCTCAAAATGGTTGTTTACGAAGATATTAGCATTCTCATTTGATGAAAATTTCTGTCCCCAACACAAGTGGGAAAGCTAAAGTTGGGTGTTCCGACTTTGAAATACTCTATAAATATTTGTAGAATAACTATAGAAATTATTCTGTAATACACATTTTCTGCGTATTCATATTAGATATCTTGGATTAAAATTTTGTGTCTGTAGCACTTATAGTCTCTGAGATATAGATGATTATACATACAGGGGGGAAGTGTAAAGAAAATACATATACATTTTTCACCTTCCGCAAATCTAATTTCATATACTTGTAGGTACAGAGTATAAAAAGCACTAATATCTAATTGGTTAATCGGTTGCTGAACGATAATCATAATATCAAAATGGTACAAATTTTGGCGGAAACACATAAAAACACATAAATATAATACAAACGTCGAGTTAATGTAGGAAGTCATTTTCATGTCCTGCTGGAATTATTTCGTTTGCCCTCGTAAGTATGTGTTTTAAAAGCAATACTTTGCTGCGTTTTAATAAGTATTATTATCAAGATATTTGATTGTTTAGTTTGATAGCGAAATAAACTAATTTATCTGTTATTCATTTGATTTGTCCAAGTTTTTTTGTGTATGTATAGCATATAAATGAAAATCAATAATTTGTTATAAAAATAAAATATGTAAAATGATCTTTTAAGATTCTGGTCAAACATAAAACCATTTTACTTTATTCTGTCGGCATGGCAATGTCTGCGACAAGCTGCATAAATTTACATTATCAATTTTTGTAGGCCTAATTACTTAACCAAATATTGCTAATTGATGAAACTAGTTTGGCTTGGACGTCACAATAGGTGCGATCGCCTATAAAAACACGAGAACTTCGGCTCAAGGAATCATTCGTAGTTCGACTAACACACGGAATACTCAACTCAACATGAAGTTCATCATTGTCTTTGCTGCCCTCTTCGCCGTTGTTTTGGCTGCACCAGCAAATCCCGATGCCGACTCACAGGTCCTGCGCAGTGACTCTGATGTTGGTCCCGAAAACTACAAATATGCGTAAGTTGTACAAAAATAGATATACTGTTCCTATTATGATAAATGCTCCTCATTTCATTTTAGCTATGAGACCTCCAATGGCATTAATGCTCAAGAAGAAGGACAACTGAACAATGCTGGCAGCGAAAACGAAGCCATTGCAGTACGTGGATCCTTCACATGGGTGGACCCTGAGGGTCAGTCACATACCATTACCTATATTGCCGACGAGAATGGTTTCCAGCCACAGGGCGCTGATATTCCCCTTGCCCCAGAGGCTTAATTAAATAAAAAAGCTTATGATTGTTAAAAAACTACTTTTGTTTTAGCTGTCACTGTTTAGTGGGAGGTTTTCACTCTTTTAAATTATAACTGAGACAAGTTTTGTACCTCTTGGAATTCTTGAAAATATTAGGTAGATCCCTCGCGACCTCTTGACTCTTTAACTATAAGCCTGTTAACCTTCCATGAAAACACGGCAAAATTTGGAATAACAGTTCTGAGAACTAAAGCGGGTTAAATGACGAAGAGTCAGCAATACATGGGATAGGGTAAAAATATAATTTCAAAATATATAAAATTACAATTAAAACAAAACAATTAAAGTTGAGAAAAGAAACCAAATTAGCAACAACTCGCGACTGTTCGTATTAGCTTTGTGTATGTTAACGTAAATAAGTATATAAATGGATATACACACATACTTGTATTTATATTGAACTTGGTAACAAGATGCGGTCAGGCGGGCCAAAGTCAACGTGGTCAAGACGAGGCATCCGCAACTCTTCTTATACATACTCGTACTATATGTATGTATTTGTAGTATTGTTTTTGTTGCTGTTGTCGTTGCGTTACTTTGCTTTTATGTTAACGATTTTATGCTCGAAACCGGCTCCGATTCTCTGTCTGCTGCCGCATGGCCGGCTTTAAAGCTTTAACGAAAGCAAAAGTTGTTGTGTTCCGCTAGGCCGTTTCCTTGCCAATGTCGCGCCAATGCGACCAAGTTAGCAAACGAACAAGATACATACTTGTGTACCGGGTAGCAGTTTCGTTTTTTGTTTTTTTGCTTTTGTAAAGATGTAAAGCACTTGACTGACATACAGCCTACGCCTTTCGGTTATTTCTGTTGTTGTTGTTGTTGTTGTTGTTGGTATAGTCCATTAGGGCAGCGCATCAATCCATCTTCACGCTCATTGAGCGCACAAAAAACGGGGTACATGGTGCATATGTCTCGGACGCTCACCTGACCCGCAACATAATTGACCCACATTCACTGTCGGCGACAAGTCCAGCTGAAGGTCATCCAGGCGCATCAACTTTATTTTATACTATATACACATACACCTACGTATTATTATTTAATTAATTTTATTTTGTATCATTTTATTTTTCAATCCATTTCTTATTGACCAGCTTGTCATTTGTGCGCTCCACATTTAGTCATTGGATACATTTAATTAATTAAATATGCGTGAACTCTCAAAATTGTCTAGGTCGGGATGCATACGAGCATATTCGTATACAATATCTACATATGTAGTTAATTCATATGAACCTAACCATGCCGTACTATGGCCTGTTAAGCCATACATTAATTTTGGATTCATTGGCTTGGCGTTGGTTTTTTTATTTTTATTATTACTACTCATCCCAATACAGTAGAGCGCATCCGAAAAACAGTCTCACACACACACACACACACACATACTATACGTACAACTGTTTATATGTGCATTAAGAGTTATTTATATGCACACTATTTATATACATACTCGTTTAGTAGATCGGGAGCGTCACTGCGCTGCGTTGGCTGCTGGGTGTGTTAGCGCCAATAAACTCAAATTTTATTTGTATGGAACAGTGGTAGCAGCTATACAATGTCATCGACTTTCGAAATGACCTTGTGATGGTTGATGACCTTCATATTTGTCTAATATATGATATTCAATGCTAATTGCTGTCCGTTACTTACAAAGGGGCATTGAAACTTGCAGCTGCATCTTGTAAAGGTCTTACTTCTGACTGAACTTAAGTTCAAAATAGTGTGCTTGAGTTTCCGTTAGTAATTGTAAATTGTATGAATTGTTTATACAATCGCAAAAAGCATTAAAACTTTGACTTTAAAATAAAGTTTGCAGTACAAGGAAAGGGAAAGGGACCTCAGACCACATGCTCATGCCAGCCTTTTCATTTGTCTGGGAAATTTTCAAACTTCGGTCTGCCAGTCTGTCCCTCTGCCTCTTAATTGGCAGATCTGTCGACGTTTTGCCTGTGTCTGTGTATTTAGTATTGTAAGGTAATATCTGTGAAAAGTAAGTTTTTTAAATTTATGCACGATGAATTTTTGTATTTAGACGTTCATCAGTGAAACCGGATTAGCTCACTACAACTAATAAAGAACTTCACCTAAAATGTGCTCGCCAAGCATTTGGTTTGAAAGATAGAACATCAACTGCAAAATACAACAATATTGCTACCGAAAGTATAACATAAATAAAGAAAATACTTTATGTGCTTTATATGGTAAAATGATGTTTCAAACTTTTCGTGCCAGCTTAATTAAATTACTTCAACGTTCTTGTTGATACTTTGTTTTTTTTTGTAGGTCAAGTTTGGTCGTTTTTTATTTTCCAATTTATTTTACTTTTAATTTACGTTATAAACTGATTGTGTTGATTTCATTGTTAATGAATTTTTATACACTTTATTTAATTTGCATGTTTCAAGTTTGTTTTTATAAAGCACGTGGTTTGCTGTTGAACATGTTTGGACAATTCGCGTATATGGGGGCTCTTTCGTCTAGATCGTCAAATTTGTACGATAATAGCTCAGATGGATTTAATTTGGATGCTCAGCAACAATGGCTGTGAACTCATCACATTTTTGACCACTATGTCTGAAACGTGTTTTACTATTTTTGTGCTTTATGTAGATTGATTTTGTGTGTTGCTAAAATTTACATATTAACTTAGGGTGGACGCGTAAAACTCGTCTGGGCAAGATGTGAGACATTAAATCGATAAAGACAAGTTAAAAGATTAAATTGAATGAAATCGAAAATATCAGGAAGTGTTAATGTTGGCCAGATGCTCTAAGCCCAAAGCAACCAAAATATTAAGACATTTTTAATTAAATGATTTGTCGCATTTTTATGGGATAACTACAAGTTATCGAATTACTACAAGTACAAATATAAGTATTTGTGTATGAAGCAAGAATTACTGGAAACCAAACTGTATTTTTTAATGAAAGTGATCGCTTAAACTCAATAAACACTTTAGAGCTAAGTAATTTAATTATTCAAAGATGTTCAGGCTGACTGCTGGATATTTTGTTTAGTTTCAGGTCAGAGATTATCTACGAGCTAACTGAAAATGTATTCTTTTTGTTAGAAGGGGAAGAGTTCGCTTAAGAGTTTGATAAATATTAATTATAATAATAAATAATAATAATTGGATCATAATATACAAAATGGATTGTCCAGGGCCTGCTGATTCCTCTGCCTCTTTTGAGCAGAAGAGGCAAAAAGTATATTGTTGATCTGAAAGGTTCTATAAAATTATTTCGGCCTGAAAGAACAGAGGAATTAACATATCACACAATCAATTTTTAGAGAAACACAATACTAAGAACCAAGGGCGTACGCAGCTTTTACCAAAGGGGGCAAAAAATTAAAATTTTGATTAAACAATGCACGATGCATTTAAATAATAATTTATGCATATTATCAATGAAAAAAATTCAACAACTCAAACTCAGTTGCATTTTAAGGCTAAATAGTGCGCCATAATAATGAACGTGTGGTCAACTTTATGTGGCAAAATTTTTTGTAGGGGGGCAAAATAAAATAAAACAAGAGAGAACGCTACAGTCGAGCAAGCCCGGCAGTGAAATACCCTGTACCCAGGTATCTGTATTTGCCGGACACTTGAAATTAAATAAAGTGTAAATCTTTTTTAATTGAATGTGTTTAACTTTTGAGTTTGTGATTGTATTTCCTATTCAGAATTGAAACTAAAAAGTCAAATGGTATATCTTCTTCAGCCTCGATAAAGAATGCTAAGAGATATGTTTTCGAAGTATTTTTAATAAATCTATGGTATATAAACTAAATATACATATACGTGTATATAACATTTTGAATTTTTAATACAATAATAAATATAAATGTAGATAATATAAAAATGATAGATGGCTTCCCATCATTTTCAAAATTATTAAATTAGTCAGCAAAGTATTTAGTCAGGTCTGTCGGCAATCTAATTTACTTTCTTAGCAGAATTAACATTCAAATGCACATACATTTGACTCCGAATCTTGATACCTATCATTGTTTAGCCAATTATGCTACTAATTTCATGCTTATCTCTGGAAAAGCTTTTATGATCGTCTGACTGTCTGTGGATTCCGCTTTCAGCAGCTGCTCTTAGATGCACTTAATGGGCCATTCAACTTTCCGATCCGTGACACACCCACCGTAGCCTTATCTTGATCCATGTTGATCCATGACTACATTTTGGATTTCGTAAGCCCCTTCGCTAATCTTACACATGTCACATTACATTACAAAAATACTATAAAAAATAATCGTTATGAAAGAGTAGTTTTTATGAATGTATATATGTATTAAGCTTTTCATATTTTAAATGCGCTGTTACCCAAAATAGATGTATAATTAATGAATTAACACAATCACTTAATTACTCGTATGGCAAAATAAAAAATAAAAAAATGAGACAAAGAGCACAGAGAGTTTCTTGAACCGCGGGCGTTTTGCTTAATTCGGTTAAAAGTGCTGGAGGTTCGTTGGCCACTTGGTTACTTGGCCACTCGACCGCTGGGCTGCTTGGTCACTGGGGCTCATTTCGTTTTCATTTTACGCACACTGAAGCGGTAAACACAACAAACACTTGAAAATACTAATGAAAATTGTGGTTGATTGTTTGAAAGACATACTGAACGTGGCTAAGAGCGTGGATAATTGGAAGCGTTGCAACCGTTTTTGACTTCCAGCTACAGTAATCATAATCATCAGTAACATCAACAATGCCCGGGCGCACTTTTGGCAGCTTTTTAATGGTTGCACACACATTCTCACATAAACACACACACACACACACACAAACGCTTACATACCAGACCATGTACACTCTTCTCTACGCTTTCATCGTCGGACAGTCGTAAAGCAAATTTTCAAGCTACAAGTATGTATATAAATTGCCGGCCATGGCCATGTCTGACATCAAACACAGTTTAGCTCTTAAGGGTATAACAACCATAAACCAAAAACCTTAATCAACCAACCAAGCTGGGCAAAAATGTTTAAGATCGTAAGTCGCAGGATAATCGGACGGAAAGTGACTGCTAATAATGCTTGTTGTTTCTCTTGCTCCATCTTCCTTCCTCCTCTCTAATATTGGTTCCGAGCAGCAAAACGTCGGACTTGTTGCTATCGTCGCCCTTGTTGTGGCCACTGCTCTGGCCATTGGCGAGGTGCATGCCTCGCATTCAGATCCAGCTGATGCACACGCCGAGATACGCAGCTATAACAATGAGCTGAAGCAAGGAGATGGCAGCTACAATTATCAGTTCGAGACGACCAATGGCATTGCACAACAGGAGCAGGGTGTGGGCGGTTACTATGCATCTGGCTCATCGCAATATTATACGCCAGACGGACAACTCATTCAGCTGACATATACGGCCGATGAGAATGGCTTCCAGCCACAGGGCGAACACTTGCCCACACCCCCACCCATTCCGGAGGCCATTCTGAAATCATTGGAGTGGATTCGCAACCATCCCGAGGAAAATGACGAGTCCTCTTATCATGAACACCATGACCACCACGAGCATCATGAGCATCATCATCAGCAGGAGCATGTGGGATTGCCTGTGCCGTATGACAAGAAGTTTTAAATTATTGCAATGACCAGTGGCCATTGTGGCTGTTGTTGTCGTTGAGCAAACATGTACATTTATTCATTTTCTGCTCATTGGCGGCAACACAGTCTGTTGCTTCTGTTTTTCTTCATTCAATCCTCAACCTTCAATCACACCCACCCATACATTTGCAACTTTACTGTAAGGTGGCTGTTGCTGTTGTTATTTTTGTTTGCATAGTCAAAGTAACAAACAATCAACAGCATCAACAGCACATGAAACATACACCCATACACCCATACAATCACACACCCTCACACCCACATACAAATACATACATACATACATACATACATATGTACATACTGCGCTGTGCTTGTCGTCATTGTCGCCATGTCCTTTGTCGGCTCGCTGACGTTGACATTTATTGCCAGAGATAATAATAATGTAATAAAAGAAAAAAAGAAAAAGGTACAATTTAATATTGTTGTTTATAGTACTTGCATACTTGTACATACACATATGTATACAAGTATAAACGTATCTCCTTTCGGTATGTAAGAGTGTAGGCGGCACTATAAATGCCATTGCTCTCATCTGCCCAGCCATATGGCTATGCATAGCAGCTGCCTAGCCCATAAATTTTTCCTGAAGCCATTTTTACAGCCACCGATTCGTTCTTGGTCTCTCGTAAGTATTAGAGTGAGCAGTAATTCCTTTTTCATTTTATTTTGGCAATCGAAACAAACATTTTAATGAACCTTTATAAATGGTTAGCGCATTTTATGTTATAATTTTCATGCAAATTCCAACGGCTAGACGACGCAAACTCATAACGAATTTGTTTGATTTTCCATCATAAAATAGGCGCTGGCAATGTTGTAACATGCAACTTGAATCTGTATGAATTTGTATTCATTTATTTATTTTGATGTTAAATTAACAATATGCAGTATGTTTCAGCTAACTTTTTTGTATAGGGTCCATTATCTCTACTTTTAGTTGGCTGTTGGCCAAACTTTTCTGATACTCTGTCTGAAATGTGTACTACGACTTGGGCTTGATGTCAAATTGGACGTGGTGGGAGTTAATAAAAATGAGTAATACGTATTTCTCATTTACAGTTTTGGGGTTTAAAAATGTAAAGAGATTATTAATAATAATTTAATTTGAAAAGTGTACAAATATTAAATTGGGAAATGTTAGAAACTTAGAACGTTTGGTGATCGCCACAGTCACGAATGATTTTCAAATTCTTTAAAAATGGAATGAGTCTTAAATATTATTAAATGAAGCTCCTATACAAAGCCTTACCAACCTATTAAATCAATGCTTAAATTGGAGCGTTTGGTGTTCAGCGCAATCAAGTATAATTTTAGAATTATTTAGAAATGGAAAGGGTATATAGTCTACGTCAAAAACATTAAATTTACGGTTCCCATTTATGATTTTGTCTGTTAGTGAGTTGGCAAATCTCTAATAACAACAATATCATAATCAAAGTGAGGGTAGTCTGCATTTTTAATTTGCATATGAATTGTTTACATGGTGTGATACGATAATTGATTCGAGGTAGCGCGCCCAGTTTTAACTTTCATATAAATATCGTGTGATGGCCTTATTTGTGCATCAGTAACTCATCAAGAGCCCTAATAGATAACACTTTAAAGCCATGTATAAGCTGGTGAGTGTCCTGCCAGATCATTATTAATATAGGAAGAAAATGAATAAACAATAAACCTATCCACACAGATACCATTCATTGCTCTTTTGGCATGTGCCTTGGCTGCGCCAGCTGAGGTTGTGCGTTCATCTAGCAATGTCGAAGCGGATGGCTCATATGGATTCGTTTGGGAGTTAAATGATGGCACCTCCTTCCAGGAGCAGGGAGTAGGTGGTCAGGGTGCAAATGGAGCTTTCGCTTATATCTCCCCCGAAGGTCTGCCAGTTCAACTGAGTTATGTTGCCGATCAGAATGGTTTCCAGCCAAACTCGGACTTGCTGCCCACACCACCACCAATTCCAGAGGAGATCTTGAGATCCATTCGATACATCCAAGAACATCCCACGCCCGAGGAGTTGGCGGATCGAGCAGTGCGTGCTTCTCAAATTTAGAAAGATGACAAGTTGGCTTTATTTTGCTCTTAAGTTAACAACTCACAAACTACTCGCATTATTCTATTATATACACATACCTATGTTCATACACGCTAATTAAAGGGATTCGCAGTCAATTCAATTCAAGTTGTGCAAAACTTAATTAGTGTTCATGGGTATACATATACACTTATGTACGTATATACATATAAGGCAGGCTCCATAGATGGAGCGCCTTTAATATTTAATACAATGCGGCAGAGCAGCGCCACAATGTTCATTAACATTTGACACCAGACAAGTAGCTGCCTCAGCTCTCTTCTTCCTCTGCCCCATATCCATCTTTATTTCTATCCCTGGGATGTGAGAGTTTCGCTTTAGTTTTTGTCCAAAATCAACTAGCGCCTTCTCAACACACATATATTAAGGCATACACACAGACGCTTACAAACAATTACCGTTATTGTGTGCCATTGAAGCGTGTGGCATGGCACGCAAAATCACAATACACTAATACTAACACCCATGTACCCACACCCACACACACACACACACACACACACACACACACAGTCAAACACACAGAGAGTGGCGTAAAAACAAAGCAGACTCATATCAATTAGGCACGCTCAGGAGCGGATATGGATATGAGTATGAGTAGTTAATTAAAAAGATTAAGGCACAAGAGAAATTTATGTATGACATCGGCGACAACAAGAACAACAATGCAATTATGTATAGTAATCGTGCTTTCGTCGGCTTTAATATGTGTATGCAATTAAGGGTTTCCCTCAGGCACTCCTCACACCAGTCTAAATTTATCAAAACCGATATTGACCAAATATTAATTTGTATACCCTCTACCCGAAAGGTGAAAAGGATGTATTCGGTTTTTGCAAATGAATGTAGCAAACGAAAAGAGGCATCATTTAAATTTCGAAAGATAATCGAACACTGTGAGTTCAGGAGATTTTTTCAAAACATTATTTTTAAACTACCGAAATGGTAGACGTTAAATTCTGTAACTCATAGAAATTAACGATAATCATAAACTCAGAAATAATGAAAACGAAAAATATTAATCAACATCAAGACTTGTGTTAATTTATTGAGATAATAATGTTTGTTTATTTGTTCCCTCATTCCATTAATGAATGAATTAGCTGGATTATGTAGCTGGCGTAGAATTGATTAAATGTTTTAATTATTTCAATACTGAAAATTACACGCAAGATAGTTGTACAAGTAAGCAAGAGTTGTAAGCTGCAACCATTATTAAAAAGAAGGCTCAAATTCGAATGTGAAAGTTGAATACAATTGGTAGCCAGATTCGGAAATCTACGCAAAGTTTTAATGTTACAATAAATACTTGAATTAAACTACTAAAAGTCATAAAAGTCATTATCTTCTTTCATCTAAAATGTAAGATTTTTTTGAAATAAATTGTAATAATTGCAAAACCTCATACGCATAAGCAACAATTTTGATATAATAAATCGCAAACTTGTCGATAAAGTATTAATCTTTCTCATGCAAAAGCTATTTTTGAAGCTGCTTTAAAGTTTGAATATAGCCCCTTGGAAGTTTTTAAGTGCAACCTTTTGTATAACTAATGAAATTAGCATATACGATGTATTACAATTAAAAATTTTAACACTACTTAGTAAATTAAAAGAGTATTTAAATGTTATCTTCGGCTGTGGTTAATTTTGTGCACCCTGCAATACCATAGAGCGCCGCCCCCAGAATGCCCATAATATGATTTAACCACAAAGCATCTTTAACTTTAATAATGTTTTGTCATAACGTCATCCATGCACTTCATTCTCCATATTTATTTATGTTTTCATTCTGTTTAAAATTGAATTATTACGCCACGGCGTAGTCCCACTTTGTAGCTCTCAACGTTAATCAAATGTTGCTTGACAAGGGTTAAGTTATAATTGTTAAAGAATATTTGAGAGTTGAGGGGCGAGAATTTCAAGCATTGTAGGAGTTGTTAGAAAATGGGAATACCTTGGCGTAACCATTGTGAGTGTGCGAAATCAGGTGTATGTGTTGGGCAACACTAATATTGTTAATTGATAAAACAAGTTTAGTGTGAGTGTCATATTGATCAGTTTAGTGGCTCAACAAACATTTGGAAAATGTAATTCAACTTAAAGTTCATTATTGTCTTCGCAGCATTCTTTGCTATTTCTGTAGCTGTGTCACCTACACCGGATGCGGTGATCAAGCGTTTGAAATCGGATGTTGGATGTGAGCTACATGATCTCGTATGTATAGCTATGTAATGTATATTTTGCGTTTGGAACCTCAGAGCAGGGTCAGCTGAAAAATATTCACATAGAACATAGAAAGCAATGGCAGAACAACTCATGATGGCCACATCCTCTCAGCTAGATATTCCGGCTGTTATAGTGGCTTTCAACCGTAGGGTGCCCGTTGCTTAAGCAAATTAAACTATTATCATAAATGTAGCAAAATTATTTCAGTGCATTGTTTGGGAATATTTTAAATATTTTCGACTTAAGGTAAAAGATTACAAAAGCGGTCTACGTTTTTTTCTGAAAATCCTAAGATCGCCTGTGATCACCATTATAATTTTTGTAAAAAATATTAAAACGTCCGTTATGTATGTTTTTATACGAGAATGTATGTGTTCGGCTCAGCAGCAAAGTATAAAGTATCTTAAAACTTGTCTTGCGAGGCAGGATCAACACATATTAACGTAACATATTCTCTTATACTTATATTTGTATATGCTTGCGTTCGCACGTGTCTGTATTCAATCTCATTTCTCCATTAAAAAGCTGGATTAACCAAACTTTGTACACATAATTTATACATAATAATAATCTACTTTTGTTTCAAATTTCATCTAAATCGGTTAAGTTATTAGGAAAACAATTTTACTCCGGTACTCCGCCCAAAAGCTCGACTGTAGCGTTCTCTCTTGTTTTTATTTTATGTTAGCTATAAATAATCAAGTATTAATTTAATTAACTAGGTTGAAGTTAAAATTTTTGACAAATTCTAAATAATTAAGCGAACATTATTATGTCTTTTTACGCCCACTACAAATAGTTTATTTCACTTGTTTTACACGTTTACTAATCGAATTTAAATGTTAATTGTAAAAAAGTACGTATTACAAAAATAAAAGTTTCGATGAAAACAAACATATTAACCTCTATTAAAAATCCATAAGAAGAGACTGGCGTTTTAAAATGTTTGCTAAACGGATAAATATATGCGTAATCTGAATACATTTACATTAAACATTTTGGTAAGACCAATTATTCAAAAATATCTTATTAATTGATTAAACTGGTTTGGCTTGGGCGTTGCAATAGTTGCAATCGACTATAAAAACATTCGAATTTACACACAAGACAAGCATTCGTAGTTCGACCATCACACGGAATACACAAGCCACAATGAAGTTCATCATTGTCTTTGCTGCCCTCTTCGCCGCTGCTCTCGCTGCGCCAAATCAAGATGCAGAGATCTTGCGCTATGAAAATGATAACATTGGTGTCGAGGGTTACAATTTTGCGTAAGTTATACAAGCAAGCCAATTGGTCAGTTCATATAGCGATTAATGGCTATTATTTTCAGTCTTGAGACCTCCGATGGCACTAGCAAGCAAGAACAGGGACAGTTGAAGTCTTTGCCTGAGGGTGATGCGATCGTAGTAAGGGGCTCCTTCCAATATCTGGATAATGAAGGCCAAGTCCATACCACCTCTTATATTGCCGACGAAAACGGTTATCAGCCACAGAGTGCTGATATTCCCGTTGCTTAGATAAATAAAATATAAGAAAATTAAAAAAAAAAACTTACATTTTTGTTTTTATTTGTTAAAGCTTTCTATTTGAATAATATTGAAAACGACATGTCAAACATTCCAAAAAGTCCCGGGCCGAGGTATCCAGGTTACCCAAAGTCCTAGGCAGATGTATTCTTGATGTACCCACCACTCCCCCGCTATGCGCGATTTTAGCTATAACTCCCACTATAACTTCCTTAATTGCGAATTTTATCGTGATCAATTATCTTTGCATAAGTTCTGCTCGCAGCTATTGTTGTTGCCGCTTTGACTTAACTCTGTACAGCACGCATACATGCTTTGATAATAGTCTATGTTTTCACTCATCAACATCAGATAATTGATAATACAGTTATATGTAAAAATGATGAAAAATTCGACTTGTCTATCAAATGTGTCAGAGAAATCGCTTTAGTTCCATTTTTTTTGGAATTTCCCTCCCTCCCCCCTCTCCCCCCTCTCTCTAAATTTTGCAAATGCGTTCAGTTAGTTATTATGTATCCGTATGCCAATGATATGATAGACCGATTTAACAAGAAGTTATAGCCATAAATATATTTGCTGCTGCAGCGCTGCTCAAGCGCTGCCCGCGGCTGTTGTTGATGTTGCTGTTTGGTTGACTGCTAACATGTTTACACAGACACGAATATACGAGCATATACATACATACACTCACATAGACGCAATTGCTTTGTATATGTGCAATTATACACCCTTTGCGTGAGTTCGAATACCGAGAAAGGTAAAATCGATCAAACATTTTTTTTGTAATTCTCTTACTTTTTTTAATTTCTATAATTATTCTAAACATATGTACAGAGTATTTCAAAGTCGGGACACCCGACTTTAGCTTTTCTACTTGTTTTTAGTTATCTCAGCAATTTGTATAGCCTGTACCCAAAGGGTGAAAGGCTATACTAGTTTCGTGCGAATGTATGTAACACGCATAAGGGGGCGTGGCAGACCCCACAAAATATAGATATTATAGATCAGGGTGACAAGCCGAGTCGATAAAGCCATGTCCGTCTGTCCGTCTGTATGAGCGCAAGGATCTCAGAAGGAACAAGAGCTATTCCCCTTAGCCCTAGGCAGGTCAAGTTTGTTTTTTTTTTTTATTTTGATACACATAAAATCGCTACCCATGCTCTGCCTGCACCTCTGCCCGCAGCTGTTGTTGTTGTTGCTGCTTTGGTTCAACTTTGTGCTGCATACTTGTACATACACGCATATAAACACGCATAGACATGTGATATAAATGTATGCAGTTAAAACTGTACATAAACATGTCTCCACTCTTGTATATATGTATGTATTGAATAATTTGTTATTTAATTTAGTTATATCATTTAATTAATATATATTTAAAATTAATTAAATTTTTTTTCTTTTTTGGTGCAGGGTACAGGTACAGAGTAAGAGTTGAGCTCGCTCGACTTTAGCATTCCTTTCTTGTTTTTATATAAATTCTTCCTTTATAAACTATGTGGTAAAATGAATAGGTGTAGCCACATACAAAAAAGTATGTATATTATAATTTTCTGGATTTAACTTTTTGTTAAAAGTTCCAATAATCACAAATGATAATATACTTTTATACCTCTTTGGCACTTTAACAAATTATTAGAAAAAATTGCGTTAGATGTTCATTTTAGCTATGAGACATTTCTCGTCGAAAAGAGGGAAAATTGACAAACCCTGCCATTGCAGGATAATATTCTTTTTCATTTGTGCCCTATAGCCCAACTATATTGCCGAACATAACGGTGTTCAACCACAGCCACAACCACCTTTTCTTATAATAATTCAAACTTTTTCCAATATTTAAGGGATATTGGTGTGATAACAGATTTCTGTAAAAAGGGGGTCAATTGACAAAGTGTGTTAATCTGACATTATGTATACTACTTTAACTGGATTAACATTTTTTTTGCCGTTGATCTGCACAGTAAACAGGGTAGTTTTCCAGATTCCTGCAGCATTCAAAAAGCTTAAAGATAGCACTAAAGATGTCTCTTCATAACGACACTTAAATAAACATAAATATAAAGTACTTAAATGCCACTGTTACCATTTCTATAGTCTTAAGAATCCATCCACAATATAAAGAATAGAGCGGACCTAGTTCTTATATATCCTGTACCCTCCATAAATACTAAAAAAAATATCTTTAAAAAAAATTTAATACTTGTATAATGAATTAAAAACATATTAGTTTTTTGTAGAGGCATATCTTTAATAATATATAGGGATTTGGTCTATGCTTATCCAAGTGTGGGTGTGCGAGCTGTACAGAGTTTAAGAAAAGCAATAAAAACAGCAAGAGCTGCTGATAGAGCATTGCCAGAGCTTACATGTGTATAACTCGCTTCAAAATTGGCTGTTGGGCTCCAATCTCTTTTGAAGGCATATCAAGCACAGAACACAGATATGTTATTCAATTAACAACTCGGCTTAGTTAGCCATATTTATTATTATTTTCACTATATTGAACGGCTTTAGTTTATATACTTATGTAATTTAGCAACAAATTGCTAGTTAGTACGTTATTTATTTGCGAATATGTACAAGTAATAGCCCATGCTGCAAGATCAAAGGTGAGTTAGGAATAAAAAAAAAATTCTTAATTGATCAAGGCTGCTGAACTGAACAATATCGTAATATGACGTGAGGACATATAAGTATAGTATACACTAACCGCGTCTAATCTTATATTTCCTGAGATCGACGAGTATTTTATCGACTCGTATTGTCATTCTGATGAAGAATATATTTGCATTTAACGCAGCTACAGTCAGTGCCCTGAAGTTCAATCGAGTAGTTTGACCCTAATAACAGTTCCCTAGGAAAACTGTTTCGTCTGAAACAGCCTCATTCGTTTGACCTCCAATTTTGGAGTCCAATATAACTTTCTGTACACTACCAATTTATAAAAAATAAAAGTTACAAATGTCCACTAAAAAATATATGCTTCAACTGTTATTATGCCTACATTGTTTTACGCAAAATGAAACGCCATAGCGATGAACCACGGAGTAGTGTTTACAAAATCTTAGTTTTGATGATATTAAATAAAAACTGAATAACCAACTCGGGCAATATTTCAGAATAAAATAATATCAATATATATAAACTATTGATGTCCTAATTAAACGTTCTGGAAAGGCAGTTGTTTAGCGCTCGGATTTTAGGTTGGGTATGCTAATGTGTGTAGAAAACGAAATAAATGATATTTATTCGGTTTTTGTGGAAGACCTTCATAAAACGAGCTTTGGCCAACTAAAATTTGGTTACTGATGAGATGAAACTAGTTTAGCTTGGGCGTCACAATAGTTGCGATCGACTATAAAAACGCGCGAATTTCGACACAATACAAACATTCATAGTTCGGTAAACACACGAAACACTCAATTCAACATGAAGTTCATCATTGTCTTTGCTGCCCTCTTCGCCGTTGTTCTGGCTGCACCAGCAAATCCCGATGCTGATGCACAGGTCCTGCGCAGTGACTCTGATGTTGGTCCTGAAAGCTACAGTTATGGGTAAGTTGTACAAAAATAGATATACTGTTCCTATTGTGATAAATGCTCCTCATTTCATTTTAGCTATGAGACCTCCAATGGCATTAATGCTCAAGAAGAAGGACATTTGATTAATGCTGGCTCGGATAATGAATCCATTGCAGTAAAAGGCTCTTTCCAATTTGTGGGCGATGATGGTGTGACATACACCATTAACTATGTTGCCGACGAGAACGGTTTCCAGCCACAGGGTGCTCATGTTCCCGTTGCCCCAGAGGCTTAATTAAATAAAGAAGTATAAGAATGTTATAATAATTCCAATTTTTTATTTCAATATTTAAGGGAAATAGACATGATAACATAATTTTGAGAAAAGGGGGCAATTGCAAAAGTGCACTGAACGGATCTATACTATACTTTACCGAGCCTTTCATTTTTTGCCGTTGATCTGCAAATTTGCTTCAATTATGCTGTGAAAAATACTTACAGCTGTAAAGCTGTAGTGCTAAAGACGATTCTTCAGACCGACAGCACTTAATTTCTTCCACATAATTCATCATCACCTTGCAGCTAATAAATCAAGGTATAATTTGCACTTCATGATCTGCTACATCTATCTTTACTCTACACTTTGGAAACAACGGCACTGGTTCCAATCATGGATTGCCTTGAATAAGTCATTTTATTTTATTTTAAGAAGCCAACGAATGTTTGGCGAAATTATGGCCAGCGGTTGCTAAATATCACGAAATACAATTGTCACAATGTGATCTAAGAATAAGAAGAATAAGGTATGACTTTCAGTGACATGCAAGAGTTTTTTGAAGATAAGCTAAAAGGATAACGAATTATTACTTGAAATTTGTATATGGTTAATATTTAACACTTGAAGTAAATTTTTAAAGATGTTTGGGCTTGCCTTTTTTTAAATCTAGGAACGTAACTTAATTTTTTTATGGAGCGCATGTTTCGTTTAATCGATTTCGCTTAACACGAGGGCTAGTTGTATATGTATATATACTTGTATATATATATTGTTTGAATTGAAAAGGCTCCGAATCTACTGGACCGATTTAATTCTTTCACTGTTGGGAAGCTATATCGTCGGTTAACATGGGCTATATTATATTTGCAAAAAACAATAGAATCCTTACTAAAACGCCAATAATGTAACCAAATTCCTTAAAACACTCCTGAATAACATGCTGTTAGTTCATAATCATCCTCGGAACATTGTCACTTTAAATATTAAGGCAATATTATTCAAAAGCCCCCAGCCAAATAAAAAATTACAAATCGATCGACACCGTGTTAATATAGAAGACATTTAAATTGACTAAGCCCTTCTGGACTGCCGCCACATGAATTGATGGTAAAATTGATGGAAATTGAAATCATGCTTTTGAGAAATTAAAGCCTTCCAAGCATATGCAATGGGACGAGGCTGCTTATTAAGGAATTGCAGGACAACTTAAGTGTAGCAACTATTATCAACGGCCCAGGAACTGGTCAAAGAGCTCATATAACGAGGATACCGATGATCCTATTTGATCATTTATATGGCTTTAATTTCCGGTAGTCCCAAGGCCAAGCCTTCGCATTAGTAGGGATCGACATACGAAAGCAATGTTTTACGGTATGTTGACCTATCACGGGTCGGAGCTCCTGAAAATCAATTTATTTTGCTATCACAAAATAAAACATCAAATATCTTTTACAGAGAACCTCTAACCTAATAAAGAATAACAAAAAAATCTAAAAATTAACAAAAAATCATTAAAATAATAATATCCAAAATAAATTGTACTCCTTCTTAGTAACTCCTAGCAAAAAGAAGGGTGTAGGTGTGTTATAAAATGTATAATTTTTAAAATTTTTGTAAAAATACCCGTGCGAAGCAGGAGCAGGACGCTAGTATATATATATATATATATACATACATACATATCCGTAGCGTTGAAAACCATCCACTTGTCCATATTAAAATGGTACAAATGACTTTTTCTATAATTTGTAGAATGAACATGAGTGCGAACATTTGCACAAAGGCTCACACATCATGGATCATGACAATGACATGGATTATATGGCCGCTCCATTCCATGTACTTGTATGCAGAACTCTAACAACTATCCTATTGCCGATGATTTCAACAAGCTAAACGGGAATTTTAATTAACGCTAACATAAATGAAAATGTATGTATGTTGAAAAACTCGACAAGCTAACAAAGAGTAGGCAGATGAGTTAATAGTTTGACTTCGTTAGAAATTCCTTTTTATTTTTCACAGTATTTTTCATTTGCTGCGCCAAATTTTCATAATAGTGGAAGAATACACGAGAGAAAATTTCAAACAATAATTGGCAAAAGAAAAAAAAAAAGAAAATACAAATGAAAACCCGACAGTTCTTAGCACAGTAGAAATGCCCAACATATAGAAGAGCTTTTGAGTAAAATAACTAAGCCAGACAAACGAAACCAATTTATTTCGAAGTAAAAATCAATAGCTAAGAAACAGCAGACGAGCAGACGGACAACTAGCACACGGTCAGGCGTAAAAAATAACAAAAATTGGGAAAGAGGGGCAACAAAGAGTGTGTGGGTGAGTTTTTGTGTGAGTGTGTGTGTGTGTGTGTGTGTATGTGCGCCCATCGACATGTGCGCGCTCTTGATGCTACTACGGACTACACAGACAACAAATAACAGGCGACGGGCGTTGGACGTCACTAACACGTTTCGTTTGCTTTTTTGACCAGTTTGTCCGGCTACCGGAATGCTTTTCGGCTAACAACTATGCGCGGTCACCCAACTACAACTTAATGCTAAAATATGCATTTGACATGCGATGAAATACAATGGCAATAACAATAACAATATGTGGCTATTGGCTGTTGTTCGGCTGCTGCCCTGACGTAAACGTTCGACCATAACTTAGTGTATCGTTTGTATATAATTTTCATTGGTTTTTCGTTTTGGCCGTACAAATTATATTTTAAATTATTTGTTAACTTTAATCTTTAGCATTACAAGAAATTACCAAGAAATGTAAAACCTCAAAAATAACCTTTTATTTTTGAGGTTTTACATTTCTTGGTTGAGCCAACACTTTTTGCAAGCTAAATGAAGGATAAGTAGTTGGTTAAAAAAATAAACCAACCACGACCTTGATGTTGAAGATGTACAACAAAAAGTTTAGAACACTATACACGTAAGCTAAATACAGAAGGAAACCGATTTTTGGACTTTTGTGGCAGTGCAGCTAGATGAGCTTCCTCAGAAATAGATGAGAAAAATGTTTATAGTGGAGATCATCTTAGTTTTGTCTGCACCTTTATGGTAGAGCCGTTGTTTCCGACGACTCAGATGCCACGAGTCTTAGTCTTACTTTATAAAACGGTCTTATATAGTATTATTAGTGTCAGAAGCGGTCTTTCTGTATTAAAAGATAGATTTAAAATGTATGTATTTGGCAAACACATTTTAAAATATGATTAAAATTAGTGGATCGAACATCCAGAAAATTAGTGAAGGTAGTTTCTTTAATTTTACATCACTTCCTAGTTGTTGTATTGTAGCATATATGGTAAAGTTGAGCCGAAATTGGAATGTCTCTGAATGTTTAAGAAATTAGTCGGTGCCCTTGTATATGTATACAATTAAAATCTCTGCTTACAATGATTGTGTCGAATTTAAGGGGTGGTATAAAACATTTTTATTAAGGGCTTGTAATTATTTATATGAATTACATCCTTTTTAAATTGTCCAATAAATTAATGTAGGTTGGTTAAAGAGCCAAAAGAAAATTTGTTTTAGAGCAAATTACATTTAATGGGATAGATTTTACCAACAATTTTTAATTTCACGGAAATTTATTCGTATAGGACGGAGATGAATGTTTAGTGCCAGAGCAAATTCAATAATAACCTGTAAATCGGTTTGCTTAGCGGTAAATTACTTATTAATTAATTACTAATTACTAAACGCAAATGGTAAAGTCTGTTGAAAGTTGATAAGTAAGCTTTCCGCTTATTTAAAATAAAATAAAATGGGTGCTCACTTCAGAAGTTGTTTTGTAAACTTCTTAGTTTTTACGTTATTATTTTTATTTCGAAATTCAAGTTTTATATGTATACAACAGCACTTCAATTTCTGTATTAATAGTCACAGACAAGCAGCGCGGAGTCTACGGGGGTATTTGACTGACGCTCAGGGAAAATTTTTTCGTCCCCTCCCATTTCAAACTTTCGTTTTAATTGGTCACCTTAATGGGGTGCCATAGTTATGTTTCGTTTGAGGGTTTTTTTTGTGTTTTCTCCTTTGTTTCGCGTTTGTTAATATGCAAATCGCCGGGCACTTTTGTGCTGCCAATCAATGTGTCAATTAATATGCTAACATGCGCCTAAAAGTATGCCCTAGACCTTTGTGCTTGTTTGCATTTCTTTTGTTGCTATACTCGTATTTCGTTGTATCTGACATTTGCCACTCTTAACAAAAATGTCTGTATGGGAGTATGTTTGTAGAGTGAGTGTAGCAAACAAAACATTTTATTCATTCATAAACTGCTAGTTAACATCACGCTAGCAGTGCGCTGTTAACTCGTCATTAACAGGCCGCCTGTTAACAGTGAGCGGGCGCATTTAAACATGCAACATAAGGAGTTCATTCTCAGTTGGCGTTAGCCGCTTGTGAATGGCGTAAACGGTTTGGCCATTTCGTTATAACTGTGTTGGTGCGTAACTCGCAACACACAAAAAGGCGGACTTTTTTGTATTGTACGTAAATTTTAGTGCTGAAAAAATACGAGTATATACTATACTCGTATATCGCGCAGCGGCCAAGGCAATTCGATTCACTCTGTGTGTGCGTGTGTTAAGCTATGTAGAAAAAGTTCACACACAAATTGCATTATTTCCGTTACAGGAGTATATGTACATATATCGAAAAGGAAGAAGAGGGTGAAGCAAAAAAACTCGCTTAATATGTGTATTTATGTATATACATATACACACACAAACATGCATATGTGTAAACTGTGCGATTTTTTGTGTAAAAAGTTTAAGGCAATTTTTGGTTTTTTGTTGTTGTTATTGTGAATTTTGCATAAGGACGGTTCATGGGCTTGGGCGGGTGTGTAGTATGTGTGCGTTGTGCATGAGGCAAAGCGCCCAAGAGACGCTGTGCCGGCAAACAGAGAAATATACACACACATCAACACTTACATGCATGTGGAAAGCGCGAAGCGCGCTCGTTTATTTTAAAATTTCCATTAAATTCAACTGCGGC